TCCGAGGGTTTTTCCGGTCCTAGCAGCGTGGAACCCCGTTTCTTATTACGGAATGGTTCCTCAAGCTATTAGTTCGTAACACTTATATAATTAACGGAAATTTCAAATAAAGCCTGGAAAATTATTACATAAGATTTTATTATTAAATTACCACTATTAAAAAAGCTTATAATTAATATATTATATAATAGCATATGGGTAATAATTAATAAATTAATTAAATATAAACACTTTATATTATATAAAAAATTTAATATAATTAAAAATTTAATATATGCTTTTTTTAAATATATAATTAATAAATATAAATTACCGGAGCATATTATCTTAAATAAGGATAAATTATTTATATTAAAATTTTAAATAAGCTTAATAATAAAAATTATTTATAATATATTACTTACAATTAAATAAATAAACAAAATAAATAAATTAAATATTAAAATAATATTTTCGTATATATATTAATAAAATGTAAAATAATTAGGTAAAATTATTATTATAAATAAAAATTACATATAATAATTTTATAAATGAAAATATAAAAATATTTTTATTTAAAGTAAATATTAATTACAATTTTATTATAACAAAGTTAATTAATGTAAAGGAAATATTTATTTTTAAAGTAAAAACTATAACGGAATAAATTATTACTATATAAAGATATTTAATAAATAAATTTAAATTTTTATAAGTAAGAATAAAAAAATATAATAATTAATATAAGATTAAAAAATTAATTTTTAAAAGGGGAAATAAAGTTTATTTATTATAATAAAATATTAAAATTAAAAGATTAAGTAATAAATTAAATTATAAAAAACTTAAACTTTTTAAAATTAAAAAAGTTATTTTAAAAATTAATTATAAATTATTATTATTAATAAAAATAAAGTTACACTTAATATTTTATATTTACTTATTAAAAAAAGTATTTGAAAATATACTTATATAAATTACTTTAAATATTAAAACAGATTAAAAATATAAAATTAAAAAGGTATTAAACTTTAAACAATTTAAAAATTAAATTAAATATTTAATTAAATAAAAGGATTATTTATTAAAAAAATATATATAAAAATTAATTAAGTACTTTAAGAATATTTAAAAGCTTATGGAAATATTTTATTAAAAAATCTTAATTACTTATAAATAATAATAAATTTAATTTTAAGTTAAAACTATTTTAAAAAGTAATAACTTTATTAAAATTACCCTTAAAAAAATTAAAAGGTTTAAACGGATTAATTTAATTAAAAGCACCTTAATTTATAATTTCCTTTTTACACTTTAAGTAATTTAATTCTTTTTTATATTAAAATATATAAAAAGCCTTATTTTTAATTATATTTTTTTAATATTTTAAATAATATAAAAGATTTAAATACTTATTAATTTCTTTTTAAAAGGATAATATTCTTTTTCTGATATTTTCGGAACTCCTTATTTAATTTAATTAATTTATTTTTAACTCTATTACGCTCTTTTCTTAAATAAAAAACTTAAAAGTAAAATAATTAATAAAATTTACTTTTATTATATTATAATTAATATAATTTATTTGTTAGACGCAATAATTATAAGATAAAAGATTAATTATAAAGAAATATAATATTTCCTTAAAATAATTATAATTCGAATAGGGTATTTTGGAAAAATTAAAGGTTTTAATATAAATAGTATAAGATTCGAGGACTTAACGTTAATTTAAGTAATAAACCTTAATAAATAATTTAAAAATATATTTTAATATTGTTAAAATTAAATTAATTTAATAAAATAAAAAATAAAACGAAGGAATTTATTAGGTTAAAATCTTTAAGGGCAAAAAATATAAAAAAAAATATTATTATAAATTAATATTTATTAAAAATATATTAATTTAAATAACAAGAGCAGGGGTTTTTAAAAATAATAAATAAACTTTAATTATAATTATAATTTTATATAATTTAATTAATTTAACTAATTTAATTAATTTAATTAATTTAATTAATTTAATTAATTTACTTAAATTAATTATATTATAATATTTTTAAAAAAATAAAATAAAAAAGATAATTAAATTATAAAAGTTAATATATATTTAATTATTTATTTACGTTTTTTTAATTATTAATTTAAATCTTATATTTAATTTATATAAGGGGAAAAACTTTAAGCTTTTTTAACGAACACTTTTAATATTTTATTAACATTTAATCCGTATTACTACTATTTACCTAAAATTAAAACCCCTGTTATTACACTCTAACGGACTTAAATGTAAGTTCGTTACAATTAACACTTAACCCGTATTATTACTATTTACTTAAAAATTAAAATCCCACTTATTATACTTTAACGAACTTAAATATAAGTTCGTCACATAACTATTAACGTAATTATATAATGTATTAAAAAATATTATATAATTTTATAATGCGTTTAATATTAAAAAATTAATTTTATTAAAAAACGTAAAACGTAAAACGTAAAATTTAATTTAATTTTCTTTATTATATTATTTAATAATTTTTATTTAAGTTTATTTAAAAAATAAATAAACCTTGTTTATAAGCTTAAATATAATTTTATTAATTATCTATTACTTTAAAAAGCAAAAAGCATGGTCTAAAAATAGGTTATTCTACGGGGCAGCAAAGGATTTTTCAACCAGTTTAAAAATTCCCAATTCTTGGCCTGAAGTGGCGGCAGACTGCGACGCAACTTGACATCACAAGCGTATTCCATAGGTGCCCGGGTTTCTCTCTGTATTACCTGGTGAAACTCGTTTTCTCCCAGGCAGCCATGCCATGTCAGCTCCGAAATGGAAGGGGTCGTCCTATATTAACCCTTTTCAACCTTCTTCTCCTATTTAACGGTATTACTTGCAGCAGCACGTCAGCTAATGGTCACTTGTAAAGTAACCAAACATGTCAAATCATGTACCTTATATGTGTTATATATATATATATCACCAACTACACATCTGGGCCGATTAGCTAGATATCTCGCTTCTTGACTTTCTGTAAAACATACTCACGTAAACCTAGGTCGCAAGGGCCTTAGTATCATACGACAGTGAAACGTGGGCATCTGATGCCCAAAATTATACATCTTGTACGGCCCGCTACATCATTAACGGTAAACCGGGAAATGAACGTCGTATCATAAGAGAGAGGCAACACTTAAGCTTAGCAATGGGTGATTTAGTGTATAATCGTGCAAAGGGATTCGGTGAGCGCCGGTACCTTCACTAGAATACGCCAATCATGTTAATTACCGCATGTGTCAAATGCATCTTACGAATATATTTAAGAAACTTGCTTCGTGACTAAGACAAGGGACAAGCTGTGCTTGCGTACATAGTACAGTACAACTTCTGCCGAGTACTACCGCAGAGCCGACCAGGCGGCTGTAAAGAAAAATTGAAAAATAAAATTGTAAGCCATTCTCTCGCTCCCACTAATCCATCTATATATCCCTTTCCCTGTCGCCACATGCCCATATAATGCACGGCCTTGTCGAATACCGTACCACCAGTATGTATTGTAACTCTATAGTTGCATCCAATTGCTTCGTTCGCTCTTATTAAGGCAACCATTAGATGGTTTCTTGCCGCTTACCGGCTTTGTAGCCGCCGGCCGCAGACTCGCAAAGGGCGCGCCAAGTCAGTTCTAGCTCAATCGAGGCTCTACTGATCCCGCATCTAGACTACTTTGATTATCACCGTAGATCCGAGAAAACGGAGAAACGCGATCTCTATTACGCCATTTTTAATAAAAATTAAAAAATTTAAAAAAAAAGAGAGAAAGAGAGACAGAGAGAGCCCTCGGCGTTCTCCCCGTCTTCCTAGTGTAGTGTAGTGTACTCCCAACATGTACATGTATTAAACGTGCCTTTCTTGGAGCTACACATTATCACATCCCAGAGGAGTTTTCCTTACCGAAATTCCAGTTGCCTTACTGTAATGTGGCGCGCGGGTAACCACCCTGGCAACTATCCCCGATGCTACCTCCTGCAGGCTGCGATGTATGTCACGCAGACGCCGAGTCCATCAAGCAGCCTGCTACCAACCTGATTCCCACCAAAATTATCTTCGCTTAACACGCAACCACTATCTAACTCATACTAGACCCCTAATTGAGTGGCCCCGCCTTGATGATTGATCATCATCTCGAATTAGTTAAATTAAGTAGTATTCGAAATACCCTATGGTGTAGGTCTGACTTGCACACAAAGATAGTTCCTATATACCAGGTAACATTCTTTTATATTCCTAACATGACAATCCCTAGGCATGACTGGTTTACCTCCTATCATGAGGAACTAGATTAACCCGAGGCTATGACCAAGACTTAATCTATAGCTAGAAATGGTGTACTTATGTTATCTCATCCCTATAACCCATCCAAAACAGCTTCGTTTATATAGTCTTGAATCGCTCCAAAAATCGACATTCAACCTATCGTTCTAGGCAAATGATGAAATATGTGCCTACAGTCTTAGATCTTGTCATCCACATACGCATGTAATCTCATCATCTTTTTATAGTAGTTTCATAAATTTCTCAACCAGCCTTACGGGATTTAGACATATGGCAGCGCGTGTCTCCTAACTTCTTTGATTAGTTTGCAATTCTGAGGCGACAGGCCCTGTTGAATAGGTACCTGGTACGTAAGAGATTTCCATAATACAGAAGATCGATCCCACCACCGTCTCTATGTCCCACCCTATAGTTAATTACACACACTACCTCTATAGGTATTTTCACACAATATAGAGACATATTATTAATACAGCAGGTTCCTCCCTGGTAAGTGTGAAAGTGGCTTGCTCAGCTAGCGATGGCCTTTGTACTTTCACTTTAGCTGGTCATATGGTCTTTGAGGAACATGTACCTTACTAGTAAAACAGCTACATTCAAAGGGATACTGCTTCATTATACTGCAAGGAACTCCCATGAATTGGCTACACAAGTATAATTGCCTGTCCGAAAACTTTGATAAGCTATGCAACGAATAAGTCAGTTAATCTCTCTACTTGCACTAATGTATGTCGCCATGTCAAATGGTATAAGAAAATAACTTCCAAGAAAAGGGAAAGGAGCTTCTGCTCCTCGACAACCATCAAACCGGAAATCCCGTCAACAGTCCAAACCTCCCATTTCTAATGGTAGGAAGCATGCTGATCTTAAAAGCGCTCCTAAGGTAGCTCTCTCGGCGAGAAGATGGAAGAATGTCAACCGGGCTATCGAAAAGACAGTAGATATAGTCTTAAGCAGGAATATAGCTCTCGACGGCTTTGGACCTAGCTACTGGGAAATGGACGAAGGCTACGCAGTAGCTCTCGTAGCGGAAATCGAACGAGGAATTAAGGAAATATGCATATTAGATAACCCTAAACTCTAGAAGAGGCTTAGAAAATTGGCTCGTGATGGTGCACAAAAGGAGTTCCAGTTTCCATTCAGGGGTAATGGAGTCTGGTTTTGGTTCAAAGGTGAGCTACTTAGCCGTTCTTCCTGTCTCTCCTCGTATAGCGGGTTTAGAGGGCCATGGCTTTTCACCAACGCCCTTCTCAATGATCGTGCGATTATTAAACTGCTACCATAATGACCGACCTTCATAAAGCCACCCAGCTGATGACTGGAAACCTGAAAGCCGGTACCTTGCCGGATCCTGACATAGCTCTTCAGAAGAGGGTTGATGAAGCAGGCCATGCTGCTGGAGAAGATGGACCCTCTCATCAAAAAAGGCAGATATTGCTGAAGAATCACCGTATGAGTTAGCTGTAGACTCGTATTAAGACACTAGCCTATAAGCACCTATATTCAATATATTCTTGGGTTGGGTATCAATTCCCACGTGACCGCCTTTTGCAGTTACCATATATTTAAGGTACTCTTTGGGCTATCTACCATATTCGGACAATGGCGGCCTGGATGTTCAACGTACCATGTATGATATGCAAAGGTGCCCTCTCATTTCCATATTTTATATTCCTGCCTAATGTATTACCTCTACCACTCTTTCGAGATCCAGGTTATCTTATTGGTTTAAGAATTCAAGCATAAATTCTGATTGGATAAACTCTACCGTTGTCAAGCTCAGTAGGAGAGAATGACAGCATCTCTATGATCAATTGATGCTTTGGGTTCCCTCGAATCCAATAACAATACTCTTATTCGATCACTAAGCTTATTTGAATCGTGATTTAATCCTCTTTGTCGTGTTGAATGCGGTAGTAATTCACACCCCAAAACATAGAGTGGTATAATACTCAAAGACAAAGGATACTCCGAAGAATCTTTTTTATCTTATTTCTGTAGTCGAAGCCCTGTGTCTAGCTGACATGAACTGCCCTTCTATATAGCCCAGCACACTTGACCTTCCCGAAAGTCTCCTGAGCTTCACAGCTAACCCAATATATGTAAGAGTTTATTGCGCCCGATAAGTAGAAGTTTGAGAGATATATTATTCGCTCGAGGATATTAAACCGAAATATATACCTCGTCAAACGTTCCTGGGGTGGTTTTTAAAGATCTATCTTGTCCCGTTTACCTTATCCACTTTACCGAGAGAAAATAAGACCTTGCTGGGATAAAGATAAAAGGAAATACCACCATGTCAGAGTGGGCAGAGCAATGCGACCTGACAGTTCGCAAAATGTACGCAAATAGCCCCTCCAGAGAAGAAAGTTCATTGTTAACCTGAGTTTTTTGATCAGTCTGCGACGCGGATTCTCGATCGATTGTTTGTACAGAATGACCAGCATTGAGCTTGGAAAGGAGCTTAAGACCGGCGTTATTCTAGTAATATCAACTGGCAATCGCGCGGTTTACAATATTGACTATCGGGATCCGGGGATCAGAGAAGGGCTCTTTAATATGGCACAATTTGGATTGAATGAAAAAATGATTTTATATGGATTGGGTTTTCACTTCAAGAGATTTGATTAGCCCCTGTTACTGAAGTAGTTAAAGGATATTGATATGTGCTTGGATCTATTGGAGTATAGGAGGGATTGGTGCTGAAATAGGGGCATATTCCTAACTGTTATTACGTTATAAACCCGACGCCGCGGTGGATTGTCTCTAGTCTCACTTGAAGTATAGTATCCTCTTGCTATCGACGCGAAAATCGTTCATATTGAAAATAAATATGTTGTTGACTTAGTAATTCTTCAATCCCTGTAGCTCACTATAATTTATTCGTGTACCTGGTATAGAGGTATCTATCTAGTTCTAGGTAACGAGACACTTTCCGGCCATTTAAGAAATATATACCATAATAAGTCACAGTGGGCTGTATTTGCAGTTCGTGACTTATATCTCCAGAGGAAGAGGGGGCCAATGATCATTCAATAATGCTGTTAAAAATGACATATTAAAAGGGGTGCGTAGTGTAGTGATAATGCGCGTGTGTGGGAGAACGTAGAAGCAGTAGCCGAACATTTTACAGAGTGGGAGAAGTGATGTGCCATCTGAATAAAATCATCAACGAAGTACGGCGTGACCAATGCATACGTGTATCGGAGAAAATATAAGCTATAATCCTGCGGATATTCAGTTTTGTTCAATGGTTTCTGTTATAGTAGAGTAGAGCAGATAACGATGCGTCAAGAAACCTACCCGTTTCGAAAAGCGCTGAAAAAGAACGGTGAAATTGAAAATGGAATTGCCATCCCCATGGCCGAGGCAAAGTCGAGGCCACATTCTGATATTTCTACCTTTTTGGTTAGTATTAAGTATCTTATAACATGTTCGATCGCCGATATAACTGTGAATCCCGGAACCGGCACGTACCTAAGTTCAGTCGTGCGAGTTTCAACTCCCGTTCCTAACGAGCGGTAATGAGGCTCATATAAATACCCCAGCCAACACCGGCAAGACCACCAACGAGGTTGCGGCCCTGGATGCTTTTGATGAAGGCGAAGTTGATCAAGCTGACGACTGGCCAAACCCTCCATCCTGCAACGAGAAGTTCGTAAAACTCGGCGCGGCTGCGAGCAAGTACGTCGGCCCAGTTGACTCTACCGTAGTTGATAGCATCTCGAGAGAATAGATATTGCGCACTCTTGGCCGGGCCGCTGAGTGGTGCGCCGAGGGGACGCAGCATAGCATCCTGAATAGAATGAATGAAGAGGCTGAAGAGGAATGTGTTGACGACTGCACCGACGGTTTGGTCTAGAATCATCTTGATGACCGTGTTGCCAAGGTGGAGTTTGCGTTCTACCAGCTTTCCCTCCTCCTCCTCGTTCTGGAGGGCTTTCTCATCGTTTGCTGCTGCAGAGGCTACAGCGGCGGAGGTAGGGATTATATGATATCCCGGAAAAGAGTCCTCCAGAAATTCTTGCCTGCTAGGTAGTTAGAATAGTGCACCTGTATCATCTTGTCCGTAGGGATGGATAATGCGAGTTCACACGTACCACAAGAAGTTAGGGGGTACATTGAGAAATGAGTAAAGCACAAATTGAAACACTGGCACCCAGTCGATGACAAGAGGAACCTATAGATGGCGTTAGCTAGACTGTAGCAACGTCTTCAGCTGTATCTCCTTGCTAGTTTGGTTATACATTAATCATACCTCATTCTGATACGCTGTCAGACCTTGCGCCAAAAGGTTAGAAACAGCTGCAAGAACTGCGGATTGAACAGTAGCCGTGATAATCGGAGAAGACGCCATGCCAACGGATTTGAGCGTCGCCGCTCAACTAACGATTGCACTTCCTAGAGGTTCGTGTGACTTCCAGCTCAAATATGAGGCATAAATATAACAGGTAACTCTACAGGTAACCTAGAATACCTAAGATAAGGTAAGGTAAGAGGTAATTTGTATAAGTCTTGGTTGCTGGCTAGATATGTACTTAGAGGCTTACGGTATTAAAAGTTATCTGAAAAATTGGCCAAGACCAGATTTACAGTATACCAAACAGAAAACAGTGCGCACCTATTGTAAAATACATGATAATACCTTAGGTCAGGTAGGTACCGGTAAGGATTCAACCAACCAGAAGTGTCCACCACAAAGTTTACGGCAATGCCACCTATGACCTATGAGAATGTCTTCAGGAGAATACTACTACAACACTACCTCCTCGGTAATGATAAAAACTCCTCCCTTTTTCTTTTCTTCCGGAATTATTTTATTTCAATTTTATTCTAAGGCTTCTTTTATATATTCATATGACTTCGATGTTACATCGTACTTCACTACCGTACTCTATTAGAGCAACAACGGTAAAAGTCGGAGTTTGTTGGTTCTGTACAACATTAATCTCCGGTATGATGAAAATATATAGTTTTGGTGACCCTCGGGAATCACTCATCATATATCTCTGGGAGCGCCGATAATATAGCTCGACGGGGGCGAGTCTATCCTCTGCTAAGAATCCACATAAACAGAAATTGTACAAGATAGGAGTAAGCGAACAAGAACTGTGTTCGCTGGTTTCGCTTCGTCCGTGTATCTGTCTGCATTGGACCTCGTGCGTCCCCCCCAGAACTTTCCGGTAACAGAACGTATCTCAGCGACCGCATCTGACTGTCGTTAGTTGCCACCCCGAACGATATCTCCGAAACGGACTTTACTCACCAAAAAGAGAGAATTCGCTAAAAAGGTGTAAAGAAAGACTGTCCACCCGATCCAACCTCCAGTTCCTTTACCGCCGTTCATAAGCTCGGCGATGGCGACTGTCACAATGATGCCGACGAACTTATAACCTGAGTAGGCTACGAGGTCTAGAAGTTGAGACTCGTTCGAAATACTTAGAAAGTAGCACCCTAGCTTCAACAGCATTATCTCGAGGATAACAACAACCCCCGCAGTAGAGGCCGTATATCCAAGTAACTCGGGCTGGAACTGGCCCCGCAAGCCTGCTATCAACGTCGACAATAATATGTATGTGACAAGCGCCATGACCGGAATGTACATGTCGGGGCTGTTGATATCGTCGCGTGGTGCCAAGTACCAGCCCTCCTGACCATTCGGTCCTACAGCTTGTCTTCGCGACCAGGGCTTATGACGCCAAGGGAAGAGCACTAGGAAGAGCTTGTTGATGACATATTTGTTGGACACGTTAAAGTAGTGTTTGAGAGCGGAGAAGTTAAACCATCGGTTCATCTGACGGCATTGGGCGTTAGTAAATATGTAGGGGCTTGGTTATGGGCTCGAGTGGTTTGCGATCAAACGTACATTCTGCTCAACATGTTTGAAAGCATTTTGGCCGACCGTGCCCATGAACTGAGCGGTCATAGGATCATTCATGATATTCCCGTAAGCACCAAAGACATTACTACCAGCAGTAGGTGTTGTACCTTGTTGATAGGGATTTCCGTATACGCCTTGTTGCTGGGGTTGCGACGAAGGCATCGGAGGTGGCGGCGATCGTAACTGTGGAACGGTAGAGACGTGTTGAGGTACAGGATGGTGAAGCGGCGGAGAATGGCCGTAGTTTGGGTGTTGCTGCATTTTGAATCTCGATTGTGAAGGTCGTGAAGGTGTATAGAAATTGGGTTTTTTCGGGCGTAATGACTGGACGTAGGTAATAGCTGGTATAACGAGACCAGGGCTGATTTTGGTGACTTTTTTATGTTCTGGAGAGGTGTTTTTATTTTATTTTAGGTACCTACCTAGGTATTTAGAGGTAGGTTAGGTACAATACCTGTAGGCTGTCGCAGCTGTTGCAAGCTGCCGTGTCAGACCCACTGTTTCGAGAACCTTAGGTACATGGTACGTACCTACCTGACGCACCTTTCCCCAGGTGGTGGCCCCTACCCCGTTGCCCAAGGTTTAATTCCGAGTAACCCTGTCTCCGTAAATCGGTTGTCGATTGGTTCGATTAATCAAACGCATGGGTCTATCTGCAGTCTGCAGTTGCCAGCTGGAAGTATACCTAGGTACATATGTACGTATGTACGTATATACGTATGCTACTTTTTCTACCTCCGGTGCTTCATCATTGCGTTAAGCAATCCCAATTTTTGGGAGCTGTCGAAAGTGTCTGATAATAAATCTCTCGATATCATACGCCCTTGCTTCCCTGCTTCCCAGATTGCCCAGAATCGCCATTCAATATGTTGGATACGTTCGAAATCCTGACCACCTCTGGGGTCGTGCTCTGGTCGCGGACTTATGCGCCTGTTAACCCGTCCGTCATCAACAACTTCATCTCCGACGTCTTTATAGAGGAAAAAGGTGCTGTGGCCGGCGCAAGGAACAGTCAACCTGCAGCGAGCAATCCGCCCTACAAGGCTGATCAGCACACTTTGAAGTGGACGTTTGTGAAGGAGTTGGGCGTGATCTTTGTTGTACGCCATTCTGCTTGGCTATGCACCTGTGCTGTCTAACCATCTATAGGCTGTCTACCGGTCCTTATTGCACCTCTCGTGGATTGATAAACTAGTCGATAACTTAAAGACGATCTTTATTGACTTATACGGCGATCAGTTGAAGAAACCTCACACTACGATCGTAGAATGTCGTAAATTCGGCGAGTACTTTGACCAGCAATATCGAGAACTCGAGTCGACCGGATCCTCCAACAACGCACGGTCGGCTGCTATCACTTCTATTTCGGAAGAAAATGCTGTACCAGGCAACACTAAGGATGGACCCCCTCTACCACCCGGCCTCAAGCCTAGAGGCAAAGCGCAGAATAACTCCCAGGAGCGTCCATCCACCGCCGAATCTACTCCGAATACTTCTCGGCCATCGACTCCTAGCGGAAACCACCTGATCGTGGCTAAGGGTGTCCCTATGGGGAAGATGTCGAGAAGGGCCAGAAAAATAAAAAACAATTCCGCCCCTATGTCCTCCGGCGACGAGGCCCCAACGAGAAAAGCTAAGAAAGCACCCAAGAAAGGTCGCAAATGGGATGCCGATGGGTTCGCCGACGAAGAGGACGACAGTTTGCAATTAGATTACTCGGCGGTCCAGAATACTTTAACGAGCGATAGTGAAGTAGATGCGGCTGCTCGATCCACGGCCGGTGAAGGGGTCGATTCATCTTCATGGGGGGTGAAGACATCCAAGGGACAGTTCGTACTGAAGGACTTGGATGATGAAGTGCACTCTATCTTGGAATCGGCCGAGGCGAAGAGCACTTCAAAGACGGAAGCAAAAGGGGGCTTGGTCGGATCTGGATTAAGTACGATTAGCAGTCTTTTCCGCAGCGTAGTCGGCGGAAAGACGTTGACGAAAGAAGACCTCGACAAAGCTATGAAAGGGATGGAAGACCATTTATTGCGCAAGAATGTTGCCCGCGAAGCGGCTATCCGGCTTTGTGAGGGTGTTGAGAAGGAACTTCTTGGTGTGAAGACAGGTAGCTTCGAGAGCATCGATGCTCGCATCGCCAAAGCCATGGAAGCTTCGCTCACTAAGATGCTGACGCCTACTTCCTCTTTAGATCTCTTACGCGAGATCGACTCTGTCATCAAACCCCCCGCGACGTCGATGCGAAAGCCAAGACCCTACGTAATTTCTATAGTTGGAGTGAACGGCGTCGGCAAGTCGACCAACTTATCCAAGATCTGCTATTTCCTCCTGCAAAACAAATACAAAGTACTAATTGCAGCTGGAGATACTTTCCGATCGGGGGCTGTGGAACAACTCAAAGTCCACGTGCGGAATTTGAAGGAGCTAACTGAACGTGAAGGTGGTCAGGTAGAGATCTTTGAAAAGGGGTATGGTGGTGATGCTGCCACGGTTGCCAAGGATGCTGTGAGAGAGGCTGCCAATGAAGGATTTGATGTTGTGCTCATCGATACAGCCGGGCGGCGGCATAATGATCAGAGGCTGATGTCGTCGCTGGAGAAGTTCGCTAAGTTCGCCCAACCAGACAAGATTCTAATGGTCGGCGAGGTGAGATTATACGAAAGTCACCTATCAAATGATTATCTTGCTAACTTTATAATGATAGGCACTGGTAGGAACAGACTCAGTCGCCCAAGCCAGGAATTTCAACTCTTCTTTCGGTCCCGGGCGTACTTTAGATGGATTCATTATCTCCAAGTGCGATACGGTCGGCGACATGGTCGGAACTTTGGTCAGCATAGTCCACGCTACAAATGTGCCGGTCTTGTTTGTTGGTGTTGGACAGCATTATTCAGATATCAGGAATTTCTCTGTTAAATGGGCAGTTGAGAAGTTGTTGAGTAATAGTTAATTCGGCGATCTACTAATATTGAGAAGGGTTTCCTAGGTATAACATTTATAAATGCGTAATATAAGATGCCCATCCATTACCAAATCTTCCGCATTGCCGGCAACAGCAGATTCAGAAACAGGTAGATACTAATCGAGAATAGACCTTTGTAATGTTTAATCCGTCGAGTAAAGGACGATCGATCAGCACTGGGCATTCTTGTGTGGTATCCATGTTTCCCCCCCGGGGGAGTAGACTACAAAACTCTTACCGTTGATTCCCTCCGGTACGGCAACCTTCCTGTCTGCGTCAATCATGTTCCAGTAGTCCTCCGTCCCCGAACTGAGATCATGACATTGGCCACGGCGATCCATAACTATCATGTCGGTAAATGTGACATTGTTGAATATCGGTAGATCTGCTCTGTCTTTCGCAGTGGCCCACTCCTGGAAGAACTGAGCAACACCAGGTCCAAGACAAATATGAAACTTTGGGTCGTCGGGAGAGTCTGCTTTCACTTCTGCAGCATATTCCTGGCCGGTGCGGAGGTTCTTCATATGTCTTTGAGAAAGATATTAGATGATTTTCATAGACATAGACGGTCAGAATAGAAGTGGGAAGGGAGTATAACTTACACATGGCCTGATATGCGAGTATACACCTCAACTGCCACGGATATTTTGTCGTCGGGTATTACTTCGAAGTTTTTCTTAGGGATCAAGCGAGCTGCTGCCGGAAACCATTTAACCCAAGCACTCGCAGTAGTCATGCCATTTCCGTTGATCTAATTTTTTTTTTTAAAAAATGATTAGTCTACTCCTTCAAGTTTTAGAAGCACTTCTCGAATCGAATCGAATCCAAGAAAGGAACTCGAATGAACCAGTATACGTACCTCGACCAGCGTCCCAGCCTGAAGGAATGGGTACCAGTTCACGTTGTCGCAATCGTTCCCCAGAATTCCCACCCACTGTGCTAGTGAATGCCGCTTGTCAGAGTCGCTAAGGCTTGCATTATCCGGTGCCCTGATCCAGGGCACATTCCACTCCGCAGAAACAGTGCGTAAGGCGGGCAGCTTGTCTTCTTGCCTTGTGGTTTCAGTTTGGTTTACATTTATAACGACACCCCCAAGGAATGAACTAATGTATTTGTTCATGCCCATTCCGGCAGGCCGCCTTCCGCCCGCTAGGCCATCAACGATGGTAGTAAGTGTGCATAAGCACAGGAGAGCGAAGCCTGGTACATACATGAGGAGACTGGCCTTGGATTTGGCTGCGTAGATGGAATGTGAAGAGGAGTAAATGAGGAACATGGAAAATGTATAGATAAGGAAAAAGGAGGTTATATACAAAGCTGGAAGCTGAGAGCCCCAGTTACACGATGTTCAACCGTCACTATTTACACCTATTCACTCCCAATTGTACATCCTATCTCATTGTTAGAGGGAATGACTCCCCTTGAATGCTCTATCTAACTCACACGGTGTGTTATCCTAGTTCTTCGAACGTCTGACTCACTTTATATCAGATCTAGCAAACATGGCGAAACCCAGGATATGCCAAAGTAGCCAGACGCAGGATATATAGAGAGAGAGGCATTGCTGTAAGTAAACGTGGCCGTTTATATGTCTATATAGGTACCTAGGTACCTAATATATATATCCTCTGATGGCCAGTACCTACTGTGTAAATCTGAAGAACACAATATAAATCTACAAAGCTACCTACCTAAGGTACTGAGCCCTATACAGGCTAGAATTTACTCATAGCGATGGTCAGCTCCAAGAACAACCTCTGTCTAACTTTTATGATTACCTAAGTAAACCAGACACACTATTATATCCTAATAGAGGGCGCTTTGTTATGAAGTTATTATTACTGCGAAATCTCGTGAATACCTATACCTGCATTAGGTAGTCATCTTTGGGCTACATCATAGTGGCCATTTAAAGTCGACGCGTAAAAGATAGAGAGGTACGCACCAAACTCAATATTAAAGCTTCATGTGTTGCTTCAGATTATAAGTTTAAAGCTCATAAGCACCTGTTCAAGTTGCCTTAGGTAGGTACTATTTAGACCACCACCAATAGATACCTAGGTTAGGTAGTCCCGGGTGAGTATGGCCGAAGGGAGGAACATGTCTTATAGTAGGGAAACTACCTAGGTACCCGGACTGCCTACCTTAAGGCTTAGGTGGATGAGAAGCAAAGGTGCAATACCTCTAATTAGTGGATAGTCTCGACTCTCGGTACGCCTCAAGCGAGATGACAACGCCAGTGGATGTGAGCCGATCTATGCCGTCATACCTAGGTAGTTGTATGAGCACACTAATACCAAAGTTTCAGTAAAGGCACAACTCCTATTAGTATATCGTAATGTGTATCTACATGGCATGTTTTCTTTTTATCGGGTTGAAACCAAAGCGGATGGGAAAAGGGAAGAGGTAGTCTCAAGATGTTAAGAACCTAAACTATAATCATGTAAGTTAAGTGGGGGCCCGAATGAGGTTGTTGCAGAAGTCAATGTACTATGTAACTACACTTTTAGTTCAGGTTTAGAGTTTTTAACCTCAGTAGCCCTTAACCAATGGCTTAAAGCCGATGCAGGGGTTTAGCAGCACTAGGTTAGGTAGGTACACACAAGTGACATACTACCTCACCTTTAACTCTTTCCCCGCGCGCGCGTCCCATCGTTAAATCAACTTTTTGTCTTGTGAAAACCTCAAACTCCCGCTCGTCATCCTACCATCTTATGAACGTCAATGCAAAGCATGCTCCCTCTTGCCCTCTTGAGTTATTCTTGGCATTAATTTTATATGATTCCTCGCACTAAGTAGGTTATGAAGACGTTCAACTAGATGTTGTACATAATACAAGAAACCCTTTGGATACGATACCCGCGGGCAGCTACCCAATGCGCATGGGGTCAAACACAAACACGAACAGTGAATTGTGGCCATTATTTCGACCTGTCACGGTTCACCCGCCCTCAAAAACTACCCCCCTCCTTGGCCAACAACTCCGTCCCTGTTGGGAGCTTCTCGGCCAATTTCCACGTCCTCTAAGCCATTTCCTTCTGACTGACCGCATGTCTGGTTGCCTGGTAGCCTACCTGCATTTTACAACACCCGCGCGTTGTGATTAGGTACTACCATTACTACATCATCTAGACCACTTGAACCACTTAAGCCATCTAAAAACATTCCTTCCTGTTTGTTTTTTGTGAATGTCGCGGCCTCTCTACAGTACCTAACTGATCCTCAAGCGTTTGTTGCTACCAGACCACGGGCACTTACATAGTGGTGCGCTCGAGAGTCGACAGATCGTTATCAATCTGCAACTGGATCACGCATCGTAATATCTGGTCCAGTATCTTAGCCAGGTTGTTATGGTATTCTCCACAATCTACCCACTAAGGCGCTGCCCGTTGGCCGCATTCCAAGGGTCGAAAGCCAGAGCTGCCAGGATCGTGCCAGGATATCGACGCGCCCCATCGCAATCCGATCCTCCCCCCACCATCGCCTATTGATACTCCATCTTCTAATACAATAATAGTCAAATTATGACTTTAGTCAATTAACTGATCACGCAGGCCGGGCTGCTGTTTGAATGTGCCTTTTCGTTTGCTGCCTGCCATGGCTGCAATTGTTCAGAAGCCTCCGTCCTCGGACTTGGCTGATAGTCCAGACAATATCCTTCCTGAATTAAGAGAAGCCGACTACTTAAATCAGGTCCTGCAGCTTTCGCCCGAGAAGACCGAGGTCTATCTTAACGAACTGATCATGAAGGCTAAAACTTTTGGTATTACTATTTGTTCGCCGTCGAGTTCTATCTCAATAAACAACAGGCGAAATCCGTCTCTCGCCAAATCGAGCATCACCACAGATACAAACCATGCCCGTACTGCGTCTACGGGATCAGAGGGTTCTGCGAGTACGACTCTTACATCACATTCCTCCATTACTGGGTATCCCGAGGCCACGGGACGGGATATCACAAGGAAGCGACCAAGGGCTCTCACGTTTGCTCAGTATGATAATTACCTCGTCCAAGCTGAGCCGAATCTCAACCAGCCTAAATTCATATCGCCGTCGCCGACAGACACCGAATCCACGCCAAGCATTTTCAGCGTGAGCACCCACAAAAGCTACCTCAGCTTTAGGAGAGGGCTTTCTAAATTACGCCGTAGCCGAAAGACTCCGTCTTCTCTCGGAAACCTTGTCATGTTTGTCAACCGCCCCGCTTTCTTGCAACGAGAAAAGGTACTAATAGTCTCACGTTATCATGCAGGTCATGCAGTGCGTGCCGAGAAGATCTTCAAGTTGACTATCCTCTACGCAGATTGCCATGCGGACACAGCTATTGTTCAAGATGTTTGAAGATCATGATCAACCAGGCAACGACCGACGAGTCCAAGATGCCACCGCGCTGCTGCACTCAACCAATACCAAGTCCGATAATCAAATCGATATTATCACGCGAAGAACAGCATAGGTTTCTCAAAGCGGTGGTGCAATTTAGCACGCCCTGGCAGTCGAGGGTATTCTGCTCCAACCCAGCCTGCGGCGAGTTTATACCACCGCAGACCAGGATCGATCCCAAATACCCATTCCAAGCCATCTGTCGCAAATGCAAAACGCGCGTTTGCGTGACGTGTAAAAGGGATGCTCACTCCCTAGGTCAAGATTGTCCGGATGATTGGGAATTAGAGGCCGTCTTGAAAATGGGAGAGAAGTCGGGATGGAGAAGATGTTATAAATGCCGATCACTTGTAGAGCTCACGCAAGGCTGTACGCACATGACATGCCGATGTCGAGCGCAGTTCTGCTACATCTGCGGCGCAGTCTGGGATCAGATGGTGGGTTGTCCTAATTTCTGCAACGGCGAGGCTGTGATGGAGGATCGGCGCCGCGAGGAAGAAGCGCATGCGGCAAAACTCGCGGACGAAGAGGCGGCTAAGCAGCAAGCTGCTGCGAAGGAAACTACAGATATGCTCGAAGCAATAAGACGTACCAACAGCTGCGAGGAATTCAAAGCATTGCAAGAGGAGCAAGTCAAGGAGATAGAGAGATTTCATGTTTTTGAGAGGAGATCGAAATGGCTTATGTGGACCAGACATGCGCACGCGAAACTTGCTCTTGTAGAGAAGCACTCAACAAGTATCGAGAAGATGAATGAGCGACATGCTAAAACAGCAGCCAATCTTGAAGATCGTCAGGTCGTCGCGGAAATGGAATTGCGCTCAACGTTGGAACAGAGTGAGCGAAACGTGCGGATTCGGCTTAAACATATGGAAGCGTATTGTGACGGCCTTGGCAAGAATCCAGATGGGAATATGCCTTCCCGGATCGTGACAGAACGAGACCTGAGAGAACTTGGGCAACAGTATAACGTTGAGAGAAACATGAAGCAACTTCACCAGGCCAAAATTAACGTTATGCGCGATAGACAGACCAAAGCCCTTGAAGAGTTACTCGAAAGACAGGAGTCGGAAATGGGTAAACTCATCGAGAAAAATAAGAAAGAGCTGGAAAATCTCGAATTTAATTTTGCGGACGAGGAAGACGCTTTGATAACGACAATGAACGAGCGCAGAGCAGCACTTCAGAAACGATGGGAACTCGAGATGGAAGTAATGCGTAAAGAATTAGAGAAGGACAGAGGGCTGAGTTATGCTCCAATGCGTCCTCCCGAATGGTTGAACGACGAAGACTCGTCAGGAGATGCGCTCTCCGCCGTAAATGAATAACGCCTTGGGCCTTGGCTGATATCCCACGAAGTACTTACCATATTCAACAGATAATCCTTTCGATGCCACATATTATATAGCCTGCCGATCTGGCCAATGATTATTTATTTATATCTATATAGGTTATTGGAAAACCCGCGTGCTTTACTCCTTGGTGACTTGGGTTGGGGATTTGGAGCTTGCAGATACTCCAAGACGGACTGAAAGATGAAGGTTTAAGGTCTGCAGCCTCCCACGGCATTGGAGTAGGGGTTGCATAAAGTGCTAAGCATTGTAATTGTAATATTTCTTTCATTGAGTATACCCAATGACAATCATGATAGGATGATATGTTGGAGCGGATATGGTGAAGGTTTTCAAATATGTAGGCAGAGGAGACGACAAGGATAGTATCAAGAGTAGGACCATCTGTCCGCGTGATATATGTTAAACTATCCATATATTATGGAGGCTATTGATGTTGACTATCTATTATGTGCGACGCAATTGAAATCTGTCGTAATCGAGAGGCTGATGGTGGACGTCTTGTACACTGCTACGGAACTTTCGAGAGGAAATGGGGACATGAAAAAATGTACGAAGAGTTCGAACTGAGAGTAGTAAATTTATATATTTCATGCGTTGAAGAATATTGTATTCGTGGCATGATACTGCCATTGTGAAAACCCCCTGAGGTCAACTAAATAAATACCCAAGAAAACAGTTATGCCGAATGATACTGAACTGAAGTGAATCTATTCAATCCGGGATAATTGGCACTCAGTGATTCTTCTGAAAAGCTTTAGTCCTGTCGATATAGTTAGCTTTCAAGGTACCTATTGTACTGTACAAGATATATCCGACATGACCGTGTAACCAATTGAAAAAGAGTTCAGAATATGTAAGAATTAAATGTCACCTTGCCGCTTGATATAGCAGCTCCGGCGAGAGCGCCATCGAAGCGGAATCAATCGCAAATTACTTCATCATAACAAGTAGAAGGAAAGGGGGGGATATATCAAAGTTGAAAACTTACCTATTGTTATATAGTTTTATCCATCTTTCTAGAAACTCTGGATTTACCTTGTAAAAAAGATAAAAGATAAATGAGAAATGAATTGAAACAAAGATGGGAAAGTTGAAGTGGTGAGAGAGAAGTACCGAGTAAGAAAGAAATCTTTTAGAGGCAAGTTCTGCAGGTAGACCCACCTTAGGTAAGCCCGTTAGTGAGGTCGGGTACGGCTTAGGTGAAATTCCGGCCTAGCCCTAACTCTGCCCACACAAGATTCAACTTCCCACCGGATTGTGCGCGACCGAAGAAAAGTTCCAGCCCCAGGACAATTCAAGGTAAGGAGGGATTTGAGCCAACATCACGACATCACCAAATCAGTAAGTCTTCCTTCATCTCCGCCAACCAGATGATCTTCTAAGAACACTTTCTATATATTTCTTCTTTTTCTTTTTCAATTGTCTCTTTGATTATCCCCATCTCTCCGCCCGCCTTCTTAATTAATTAACCCACTCTTCTCTGACAACAATCCTTATTAGCACACCGTCACAATGGGCGACGCATCGATCGAATCTCCCGAATGGCGCAAGGTCGAGGTCGGCCGTATCGTCCTCGTCCAGGGCAACAGCCCCTACGCCGGTAGACTGGCTGCTATCGTCGAGATCATCGACCACAAGCGCGTACGTTAACCCCGAAATCGGCAATCTGGAAATTTCGCGATTTATTCATTTATTTTATTTTATTTTATTTTATTTTATTTTTGCGGATCGTGTGTAATCATGTCATTTGTTGTGTATATTAACTCGGAAATCATTCTAGGCTCTGGTTGATGGACCTTCAGCGGACCCCAATCTGGTTGTTCCCCGACAAGCCATCTCCTTCTCCGACGTGCTCCTATCCGACCTGAAGATTCAGAAGTTGCCCCGTGCCGTCCGAACAGGAACCCTGAAGAACGCGTGGGAGAAGGCCGAGATCGACGCCAAGTGGAAGGAGAGCAAGTGGGCTAAGCGAAAGGACCAGACCGAGCGAAGAAAGGCGCTCACCGACTTCGACCGATTCAAGGTCATGCGACTCAAGAAGCAACGACGATTCGAGGAGCGAAAGGCCTTGGCCAAGGTTAAGGCATCCGCATGAGCGGGAGAAGGAGCATGAGGGGGACGGAGTGGTTGGTTCTATTACAACGGTCTCTTTCAGCTAGAAGAGGAGGGTAGTCTACGGATCTGGTCTGCATGAAATGACACATTGGCATGGGGTTGCTGGTTTCTTCTGATTCGTCTGGCAAGACCTGTATGTCACTCATAAAAAATCTCGATGAGGTGACCGGCGTCAATGATAAGGGAAATTCACACAAGAACCTGAGGCTGTCTTCAACGTGATTACATCTTGGTCGGGTGATATTTGCGCTAGCTATCGCGTGGACGTACCCGTACCCGGATTCTCGAGGTTGCGTCAGTGTAGATTCGATACGCAAGTTGACAAAATACCAAAAGAAAGAAAACGAAATCTCCGAGGGTCCCTAATAACCACAAGTTTACCTCATTGCATTGTACCTACATACTATTCTTTGTAAAGTTCTCACGTCCCAAATGGAGATAGGCAAGACAAATATTTGTATAAGATGTTTAAAAAGTACCAAACGTACCTAGGTACCTAAAATAAAGAAACCGTGATATTACCTAAGGTATGTATGGTAGGTGCTGTAGCGAATTTATCAAATACGTGATAATCGCGTACCGGTAGGTACCTAGGTAGGTACCTAACTGTACTGAGGTAGAGGTACTTCCGTACATCTACCTTCAATATTATAAATCCGTATGTGGACTAGCGCGGGCACTCGCAAAACTGGCAAACCCTAGGCCCAAACAATTGAACAAAAGTTCACAGCTGTAAGCAACTTTTCTTCATAACCGAACCACTCAACCCCCCCAAGGTACAACCAATCACCCCCGCTACCTAACTTCGGCGTCGTTTTTAAGCTGTCGCTTTGGTAAGTAGTTGATATTTCCAATAAGTCTCCTCCTTCATATATAACCTCGTCTATTTTTCCTACGCAAATTGTACGAGCAGTTTTGGGGGAGTTGGCCAAGTAAATTTGAGGGCTTAGTACCTCAAACCCCACGATATCGCGCCCACCTCGCACATCGCAAAATAAATAGCTAATTCCGACCCCACCAGACTCACATTCAATATGGCCAACCCCAGAGTCGAGGAACTTCCCGATGAGGAGCCCAAGAAGGTGTCCGTCGAGGAGCACGATGACGATGATAGCTCTGATTCCGAGATTGAGGTCGGCGAGGGCGGCGCTTCGGGCTCTACCGCCGTCGTCCACTCCCGTAACGAGAAGAAGGCCCGCAAGGCCATCGAGAAGCTTCACCTTACCCGCGTCACTGGAATTACCCGAGTGACACTCCGACGACCAAAGAACGTAAGTAACAACGGACACGGAGATTTTTTCTTGGTTTTTGGTTTTTGGTTGAGGATTGCACTATTTAGTTGGAAGATTGTGCGCGAAAAAAAGGAAAGAAAAAAAAGAAAGAAAGAAAGAAAGTCATCCCCAGCGCATACCCTGGTCCTATACAGCTTTTTGGGATGAAGATGAGAATTATTCGCTTTTAGTCGGGTCGGATTGCTTTGCTTCTTCATGGCTAACCGCATCACCTATAGATTCTGTTCGTTATCAACAACCCGGAAGTCTACAAGTCGCCCAACAGCAACACCTACATGTAAGAACCCGCTGCTACTACGTTGTGTGGTGTGATTGATCAAAGAAACTAACGACTCTATTAGTGTCTTCGGTGAGGCCAAGATCGAGGACCTGAACTCGGCTGCCCAGCAAGCTGCGGCACAGTCCCTAGCCGCTTCTGGTGGTGACCACGACCACGCTGGTCATGACCACAGCCACGGCGAGCCCAGCAAGGCTGCCGAGGATACCGAGGAGAAGAAGGATGATGACGACGACGATGAGGAAGTCGATGCCGAAGGGCTCGAGGATAAGGATATCGAGCTGGTCATGACTCAAGCCAACGTCAAACGGAACAAGGCTATCAAGGCGCTGAAAGAAAACGATAACGACATAGTCAATTCGATTATGGCGCTGAGCGTTTAAGAACCGAGTTTGACTAGGAGAAGGGAAGGTCTAATTGCGGGCGCGTTGGGCGGATGCATTGCGACAATTGAAAAAAAGTCTGCAGGAGGGAAATGAAAAAATGAGAAAAGGAAAGTCGGTTGGCTGTGTATTGCATGCTACGATACCTTAGAATGGATTATTGAGCCATTGTGAATAATGCGCCTCTCAAGTTTTATCGACCGTTACATTATTTTGATGGTGACCATACCGGTGATCATGCCTTTGACCATGCCTTTGATACGATTTGCTCCATTGAAAGAAAGAGGTGTTGCTAATATTCTGATATTTTGGAACCTGAAAGCCAAATCACCGTAGATTTGCTTAAACCACCTAATATTAGTTCGAGATACCAGGTGCTCAATACCTACCTAGGTATTTAATACCTATTTAATGTCAGGTAACTGAAAGTACCTGATAGGTACTGTACTCCTAACGGAAGTTCGAGTATCCAGAAAAGTCACGTGACTCTTCGAGTTAATCACGGGACTTTAGGTAATTGTGATACCCTTGCAAAACGTTCGGAGTTCTTCGGCTGAGATTCCAGCAGCCAGAGCAAGCCAACATCCACTGCGAATTGCTTCATAGGTATCTCCACTCCTTACCTTTTTTCCTCATCACATTACCAAAATGGCCGCAGTAAGTATTTCTTCTTACGGAATCCCCTGGTGAATGCTATCGAGTTTTTTTTCTTTGAGGGATTTATGGTGTTGTCAATTGGATCATCCATGGTACCGGAAGTTATGCTTTAAACAAAAAAAAATATAAAAAAATTGGATAAAACATGAGCTAATTTCTAATTTTCCGTTTCCTCCCACGTAGCGAAGCGCAGCCCTCAAGCTCGACTGGACCAAGGTCACCTCCTCGCTAGGTCTGCGGGGGCAGACCGTCGCAAGTCTGCAGGCCTTTAAGCAGCGAAACGAGAATGCCCGCCGCAAACTGCAGGCTCTGTCCGAACAACCGACGACCGTGGACTTTGCGTACTACCGCTCGATCCTCAAGAACCAGGCTGTCGTCGACGAGATCGAGAAGCGGTTCGCCGCCTTCAAGCCCGCCACGTACGATCTCAACCGCCAGCTCAAGGCCATCGAGGCTTTTGAGATCGAGGCCGTGAAGAACGCCGAGAGCACCAAGGAGAAGGTCGATCTGGAACTGAAGGACCTCGAAGCTACGCTTAAGAACATCGAGACGGCACGTCCCTTCGAGGAGCTTACTGTTGACGAGGTTGCTGCTGCCGAGCCCTCGATCGACGAGAAGACGGCCAAGCTCGTGTCCAAGGGCCGCTGGTCCGTTCCGGGATACAAGGTACGCTCCCTGTTTTGCTATAATGCAGCTGTGGCAATATATATGCTATACTGTTGACTATGACATGATGATGCTAACAACCCTTGCAGGAGAAATTCGGCGACCTTTCCATACTATAGACAGCGTGCGCACCGTAGCAGTCAGAATTGCATCCCCTTTCCCTTGTGTACTCTAGCATTGTAGATAGGAAAAGCCGGGAAGGAGGCTTAAGAACGTGGGATTATAGGCGTCGTTAATCAAGTAACCTCCGTACGTATGCGGGTTGTGTGCCTGTCCTTGATGCAAGTGATTTTCTTCCCAACTCCAAGTATTCGTCCGGCTACGAACCCCGGCGTGTTCCAAGGTCAAAGGAGATAAGTGCCCAGTTGCCTTGGAAATACAGACGTTGGCTTTAGCCTTCATCCGGCTACTGCACAGACGCGTCCCCCTTTTGAGAGGCACTTAGAAAGTATTGTACGTAGTTGCCGCACAGTCAGGGCTTCAGGAAAGGAGATAACCTAATGCAACTAGCTTTTAAAGTTTCTAGCTCTAGTTTCATAACTCATCATCAACCATCAAATTCAGGCCAACAACCTTCCAAAGCAACTATACGTTTATCTTTGACTATAGAAGAGCGCCCGTAATTGATAGTAACCAAACTGAACAATGAGAAGTGCTCACAATAAACATTAGTATATTGACATGCCGTGGGACATTCGCTGAATATAATAAGATTGTTTGTAGACAATGCACACAACTGTAATGTGGCAGAATTGCGTATATACCTAATATAAGGTACTATCAGTTTAGAAGTTTTGAGTTTACTCGTATCCTAGGTACGTGTCGTACCAGCTAGACCAGTAAATAATATCATTTGCCTTGGTTAAAGTTTAAACCTTAAAGGTGAATGAGGGAGGTGGATCTGGTGGGTGGACAGCTGACAGCCTACCATAGCGTACCTACCTTAGGTTAGGTTAGGTACCTATTGGTGTAACTTATTAGTGTGACTTAAAAGTCGTAGTAACTAAAAGTCGTAGCTAGTGCGCCCTACCTGCAAGCCTGCAGGTTGCTTCTTTCAGCTCTTCCGCCTCGTTGGTTAATCATGTTCCTTACATGTTTCCCTTTTGCTCTACCAATCTCCACGCTACACATCGATATTACACACCTTCGCATCTTCAACAATTCTTCTTCGCTTACTACCTACTTCCCTACTACTCCATATTCTGTCCCGATATATTCTGTCCGGATACCCAGTCTAAAAAGCGAAATTCAACCAATTTACTTTTTTTATTACTTCTCTTTTCAAGGCAATTGAGAACTCAACTCACAATATACTGTATCCGACCGCTCATCAACATCGAAAAAGGTACCGGTTAAAACTTGAGAGACACCATGGCGACCCTCGCCGCGGGGATAGTTGATCCCACAAAAGCCGGCAAATACCCTGTTGTTTTGAGCGATGCCTTACTCGGCAAAGACTCCAAGGAAGTTTTCACAGGCGTAAGATGTAAGTCGCCCTTTCGTGTCTGCTAATAGACGGCATCTAACCTATAACCCACTATAGATAATCATAAGCCGTCATTATCCTCATCCACTGCGCCAGCCCAGGCACGAATAAAACCTGCTTCCACATCCTCCTCCAAGAAAGGCCCTTCCACATACGACCTCTCCTTCCAAGATGACGGCGGCCATTACCAATACAAAGGGACACGCGGGGTTGAAGATAGCCAGTATGTGCTGATCTTCGACCCCACCCGCGAAGTTTTCGTTCTGCACAAAGTAGATTCTATGTTCAACATGAACTTGGTTAAAACACCAAACGACAACGCCGAGACCTTGCGACAAGATTTGCCCCAGCTAAACGCTCATAGTGCTTCCAGCAGCGCCAAGGCCGCAGGGCCGGCGAAACAACCTGCGAAGGGGAAGAAAGAAGAAAAGAAGACGGCAGCTAAGCCGCGGAAACCTGCATCGAAACCAAAAGCGGAAGCCAAGCCAGTCCTGGCAATGCCCGAGAAGAAATCGCCTCCGAAGCCCGCACCCGCTAGTAAGCCGCGTCGCGCCTCGGACGATTCGGAGGAAGAGAGCTCCGATGACGACCTGGGCCTTACCATAGAAAATCCAGGTGGCGAAGCGCCGAGGGTTAGCCGAGATTTCTCCCCCAACCTCTTTGGAATTCGCCGTTTCTCCGATTTGATGAATGATGACGAGGAGGAGGAGAGGAATAACGAGGAGCACCATGATGCCGACGGCGAGGATGACGATGATGAGCCTATGGATAACTTTGTCCTACCTAGCCCGATAAATCGGCAGATGGAACAAACTAACAATGCTCATCAACCTCGGACTAACGAGGAAGATGAAGATGAAGATGAAGATGAGGAGATGGAGGATGTGCCGCAAGAACAGCCGCCTGATGAGGAGCCCGCCCTGGACGAGTCGGATCTTGAGGCTGCATTGTTAGCCGAACTGGGCGAAGGAGATCAGCAAGAAAGCGACGTGAGCGAGGAGGAGTAGAAGGAAACGGGTATTTATCGTTATTGATTATTGATTTCAGCGATGCTCACTTGATGCGGTATTTGATCTGATCCAATCTGATCTTCTGAGGGTTATATAATAAAGAGGCGTCTGGTGCTCTGGATACCACATGAACGGACGGATGGAATAGCGAAATAAAATACATCTCCGGTAAAGATTTCCCGGCAGAAGCGGCGGCGGTCTGGCCCTAATTTACCTATTTGATCGGCGAACTCCTTAATGAGTAGTTACAGAATCCCCTAGGATTTCTAGAGGCGGAAACATGCTACGATCTTTTTTTTTGAACGAAACCAGCGGAGTTCAAGCAGAGTTTAACACGGTTATTGACTTGGCGCTATGTCCAACAACGGAGGCACAATGTATTTTTAATATTATGATTTATACCTCATCTCGATACGCATTCTTCTGTTAGTTAGATCTTGAATCTAGTAGAGAGGATAGACATATTCTATAGTAAAATATATATACCCACACGTATCCCCCCTATCCCATCCTATCTATCATCTCTCCTCTTATGAAGCTCCCGAGAAAGCTAGCTTCTCATTCCCAACAACTGGGTTCAGAACATTAACATTCGTTCCCGCCAAGTTTCCGTCGCCGCCCTGGACTACCGCCGAGAACGAATCGGCCATGAGCTGCACGCCGCTCACGAAGTCCTTCTCGTCAAACTCGCAGTGGCCCCCGTTCGGCGAGTTGTCTACCGTCTGCAGGGCGCCGACGGCTGCTGCGTCTAGGCCCTGAGACGCGGCGATCTTTTCGTAGGCTCGGATCGCGGCTGGGATCGCGGGTTGGAGCAGCGTGAGCTCCTGCTGCGTGCTCTGGAAGTGCACGCGCGTGGCGGCTAACGCGGCCGCGTCCGCGTCCGCGACGTCGACCTGCGGCTCCAGGCCGCCGCAGTTGAGGAGCACCTGGGACTCCTTCCCCTCGCCGGCGAACTGCGACATGTGGCCCGGCATCAGGAACCCGCTCAGCAGCAGCGAGCCCCCGGAGACGCCCGTGAAGCTCACGCGGCTGGAATTGAAAGCTAGGACCTGGGGCATCACGTCCGCGACCAGGTCCGCGACCGCCTGGGCGTGGGCAACGCCGTCTGTACGGTCGAGCCCGGAGCCGCCTCCCCAGAAGAGATTCGGGTCCGGGGCTAGGAGGGCGACGCCCGCGAGCCCGTTCTGCACCGCTTGGTTCGGGAAGTCGAAGAAGGACTGCCCCCCGTCGCCGTGTAGCAAGACGTTCAATCCTAAATCGCCGGCTGCACCGGCAGTCTGGGTACCACCGTCGACGCCCGAGTCGGTAGTGAATTGCTCGGCGGGAGCGGAGACCTTGAAGCGTAGGGGGAGGCCGCTAAGTGAGGGTTAGCCTTTTGATTCTTGATCCATACCTCCAAGGTACCTCATGTGTAGCAATCCGTAGATTTAGGGGGAGGGAGAGGGGGTTACCATACTTCACATTAGCCGTCATGTCCAAAATCGTGCTCCCATCCGTCGCTGTCGACACGCCCTGAGGTATCTGCTGTGCCTGCTGAAAAGCGGTCGCTTGTTTCTGCCTCTGACCTCCTCCTCTAGTCGCTCCTTGGCCATTTCTGTTCCTGCCGCCTCTGTTTCCTCTGTTCTGTGGCGCTGCGTCAACGAGGGAGAGGGCCCCTAGGGCAAGCAGCAAGGATAACGAGCGGACGGTCAACATCCTGGCTAGGTATATGAGGTAGTGAATGAAATGAGTTAAAATTAGGTACTATGTAGTAATGATCTTGTAAGAAAAGGAGAAGAAGAAACAGGCGGATCCGGGCCTAGAGAAGGAAAAGAGATACGTGTGGTTATCGAAATAAGGCCCGTCAAGAGCTAAGAAGCGAATGAAATGTAAAAGAAGAGAAGAAAACAAAAACTTGGTTTGCGTTTCGCAGACATCGAGAGAAGGTATTCTTATGTGCAAGTCCTCATATTACTCCCTTCTAGGGTCACAGAGATCAAACCATCGCGGTCCCAAGGGCATCTAGAAGCACGCCAAGAAGGAGCAAAATATCCAAATTAGCGTTTATCGTGCTGGAGTATCAGCTTCGATCATGATTATCTACCTTGGTGGGAAAATCGGTAATTCTGACACCGTATTGGAAGACAATCTAGCTTCTCCGTGTTTCGCGGCAAGGGCTGTGACCGTCCTGAGAACGCCGGTGCCCCTGTCCTAACCCCACAATCACCGGGGAGGTATCGTTGCATCCTGGGGCTTGGGCTCTTGTCTGAAGCTTAGCTTTTCCTTGGCGTTGTATAGGTATATTATATATATTAGCTGGGTATGTATATACGTATATAAAGAGCAACACCTGCGAACGTTAAAGGTATCGGTCATAACGCGAGTTTTATACTGCGGAATGAGAGGTACTTATCAAATCGTTACTAACTTAGTCTTAAGACCAAAATTGACAATGTTGGATATCTCTTTTACTGTTTTCAGCTATACTAACTAAATAAAGGTTACTTTAGTTTAGGTCGATACTGTAGTTCTAAGGTTAGTAGCTATAGGTAAGTCAGAAGCGGACGATGCTGAAAATCGAGACCAATTAATTAGAGAATCAACGAGTACAGAAATGATTTGCATTGTAGGTTGTTCGACAGCTTCTAGCCGTTTTGCCCTTGGCCATTTTTGGCAACATTCATGAAAGTTAAACCCGTACCCTATACGAAACACACAACCTTCTGAGAGGAACACTAAGCGCCGTTGCTTGTTATAATGATCAACATGGAAAGTAGGGTCGATCCCGAATTCGCTGGTTCCCATATGCCCTAATGATATTACCAAAAAATATATATACCCAATTTATGCAAACGAGCGTATTGAAGTCCAAATAAACGAAATCTAGATTTTGGGGGGCCTATCGAGTAGAAGCCTCCGCGCCTCATACTATTTAACCAGTAATAGCATATATAGGCTCGTCAAACGTGGTTCGTAAGATTTAAGATGCCGAAAGATTAGGTCCAAATAGTGCCAAGCAACGTCAATTCCGTGAAAAACATCATCATGGACATCCCAACATCACTTGTAGTGATGATGCACTACTCGGATAGAGGCATACGGTAATGTACACCTGCTGCTATTAATGTGTAGTGGAGAGCAGTGAGCGTCCAACAAGTTTCATCCCATCGACTCGTCCATTGCCTCGAGATCGCTGGGCATCGCCCCGTGCTTTTTAATCATATGTCGCCTCCAATTGTCTTTTCTCGGGAATGCTTTCCTTCCCTTGAAGTATGGACATGTTGGTTCTATGCAATGATAGGCTTTCGACTTCACATGCTTATCGTTGATGTGGCGGTCGAGGTGCGTCTTGGTGCCGAATTTCTTATCGCAGCCCTCGTAAGGGCAGCCGTGCTTGCGGTCGTGATAGCGTTTATGATGGTTAAGTTTGTGAACCTGATCGAAGTAACGGCCGCACTCCTCACATATATGGCCAGATGACTGTGGAGAAGGGATCTTGGAGACCTCCGGCGACGAGCTCGATTCTGGTTCCATCTTGACATGCTCATGCATGTTTGGGTACGGTGATGGTGATACTGTAAGCCGGGTGTCCGGTGTCCTCCCCGTGGAGGGATCCGTAGAACTTTGCCCCGGCGTGGTCGTATAGTCGTACGAATCACCGGATAGGCGAGGCTCGTCGTCACTAGGAATATCTAGGAAGCTCTCGACGTCAATATCGTCTTGAGAACCATAAGGAGGATTCTCGGGGTTTTCTTGCGCCGTCTGCTCTGTCACGATAGCAGGCGGTAAAATAGGGAAAGTTGGAGGAGATGCTGAGTTCTCCATTTGGTAGTGAGTGTAAGCAGCTTTCTCGGCAGCGTTAGAGGGCTGCATGATGGACATTGGCGACACGAACGATTCGGGCTGAAGAGGAGGTGAGTGTGAGCTACGGAAGACAGAGGGTCTATTAGCAACATCAAGAGTATCGTCCAGCTCCATGGGCTCCGGGATGGCCGGGCTCATAAGACGTTCTTGAGGCCGGGTCTCGGATTGTGGCTGAGTTGAGTGAGGTAACCGATCGGCGGAGTCCGGACTTCTGAGAGCAGCTGAAGGTAGCTCAGAATCCCTCTCGGTGGTTTCTCGTATCGTCGAGCTAGTCTGCAGAGGGTATACATCGTACTGCGAGTCTCCCTGTCGCTGTCTCTTGTTTTGCTGATCCTTTTCTGACCCGTTCCCGCCTGCAGAAGTGCCTGAAATACCCCCCTCTTCGGAGATTTCGCCAGGCTCTTCAAAAAATCGATTTTTAGAAAGTTTTTCTTGAGTACTGGTTCCTTCCGTAACTTCTAATCCGGCTTGCGGCTTCATACTGACAGGACTTGTAACGGGCGAGGCAGTAAAATACTGCTGAGGCGTTGAGTTATGAGGACTGCTCGTGCCGTGAGCTGAGGAATGCGTAGAACGCTTCCTTTTAATGCTATTCCAGAGTCGACTAATTAAAGAGCCACTTCTTTGGCGTTCTCGGGAATCTCTCAGCTGAGCCTCGTAGAGCTCTGTCATCTGTCTAGACGGTGGTATCGTTTCTTGCTCAGGGTTTGAGCCCATCGAGATCCTGGTGTCATAATAACTAGAATTGGCTGCTTCGTATCCCGTGACAACATTTTCAGAAGGCAGATTGACCCTAGGGTCGTTGGTAGTTGGAAAAGCCGTAAGTTGAGGGGGCGGAGAAAAGTTGACGCCCGGGTGCAGAGACAACTGGCCAAAGTCTTGGGATGGATAATAGGATTCATGATCTCTCACAAATGCATGTCCATAAACGGCAGGTTGTGTCTGTTGGAACTCAGAGCCGTCGCTAAAGCCTGGGCCAATTCTCTCAAGATCATCTTTCGTAGAAGGGAGATGATCCGGCCCTGTAGCCGGGGTTTGTCCAGGCAGGAAACTCCCAAAATTGAATATAGACTTGGTTCGGTTGCCTGGAGAACTCCCAGTTGGTAATGTCCCCGCCTCTTTCGCCTCTCTCAACTTCCGTCTGTACCGGAAGTAGAGAAAGCCCAGGACTATGAATAACAGGCTGCCTCCGATGAGGCTGCCGATAACCGTCCCAGCAATTGCGCCGCCTGACAGTTGACTTCTTCGCATCCTGAACCCGGATCTGGGGTTCAGGGCAGGCGCCATATTGGGTTAGATGAGAGCCGAAGCTCTCAGTACGAGGTAAATAGGTCCTCGCAAGAAGTCAAAGGTTATGCTCTAAGCGTGAGATGATAGCTACGGTAGCTAAGGGTAGCTTAGATGAGAAAGACTAACAACAAACGCAAGCCAAGAAAGATAGGCTCCTGATTTCTGATGAGAAACAATTAAGACACGGGCCCGTCAATGGTGGGGAGAGGTTATGCAAGACCCAGATGGCTGGTTCGGTCAGGGTCGAGTTGAAAAGGCGGAGTGTACGGTCATAGTTCTGTTTTCGCGCGCGTAAAGTCAGCCCGTCACTCGGTCACTCGCGCAGTGGGATGAGATTCGGCCAATGCAGGTGGCCCAATGGCAGCCTGACAAGTGCTGGCTGGATAAAGCAGGGACAAATGAATTATGCCGAAAGTGAACTGATGATGAACTGGGTCATTATTTCGATCATGTTATGAGATGGATTAGAGAGGAGTTGACGTTGAAGAACAAGGATGTGATGATTTATCGGATAGATTCAGCCTCATCAAACAAAAAAAAAACAAAAAAAAAAAAAGTTGGAGGCGGAAGTGAACCAGTATGAGCTAGATGCAAAGCAGAGTTACATTGTGATCCCTAAGAAACCTAGGAAAATCCCAAGGACGTCGATGGCTGGTGCCTGTGTGTTGTACCTAGTGTACATAGTACACTGGTATTGTACAGGGGTCCTTGTCGTCCTCGCCGTCCTTGCCAATTGGAGTCCTCAATTAGAACTGAGCGTTGTTTCCTGCTTCCAACCAATTTGTTATGGCAAAATCTCCGAGACCCTTTTTATGATAAGGCTTTCCTTATGAAGCTCCTGCTTAAAAACGATAGAACGGTCAGCACGATGTTAGTGCACTAACAGAAAGCGCTTGCCCAGCGTTACGGCCGCACTAAAAACTTCCATGGGTTAGCTACACATTGTACAGTACAATTAAATAGGTACACCTGTGGTATTGTACACTTCAACAATGTTAGTTCCCTGTACGCTACTGCGCCACAAGCTATAACCATCAGAACCATTAGAATAGAAAAAGATTAACTAGAACATTAGGAAAGGGGCTAATCGATAGTAGCCAAGTATCCTCTTAGGTTAGGTACCTCATACGTAGTACTTTTGTCGGAGACCTCCCGGTGAACGCGATAAATCGTGTCTAATAAATCAATCAACGCGATACTTACTTTGCATCAAACACCCACGGAAAAGCCGTGACGGATCAGCCTCAATTGCACCACCCTCTGCACCACGCGTTGTAACCTCAAAAACGTCATCGCAATGTCCCTCTAGTCTGATGAAAGACTTCGCTATAAAGTTGAAATAATGTTTTTGTCATTCAATGGTGATGTCCTGTCAGTGGGTTTGGAACGCGTAGCTCTTTTTTTCTTCTTTTTCTTTTTTTTACCCTCCTAGACCGTTCTTAAGGTGCGATGTCGTAACTTGACCGATAGCTATGATGCATTCCGGAAACGATCTAAGATATCTCTCATCTCATCTGGATCTTGGGACCATCGAGGCGCGAAGTTTACAACTACCCCGGAGTGATGATTTGATGATTCTTGTATATGCATAAAAAAGTATTCATTATCAATACGTTTAATCAGGCGCGAAGGATCCAACATATCGTTGGTGCTCAGACTCAACTGATAGCTTGCCTGAGTCCTATTGCCACTCCAAATATGAAAAATTATGTCACCCGACCTTGCCATGAGTGTTCAGAAACTCTTGTCGATTGAAGACAATTATTTTATACCTCGTCGGGCGAGCCTTTCATACGGCTCGAGTTGAACAAACAAATAGAAGATCTACGAGCCATATTTCAGAACCCTCTCGCCTTTCGAACGAGGCATGCGGCAGATCTCTATCTTCCGGTCTCTGCTTACTGTGGCAATGGGAAGGGGTTTCATTCACTTCCCAATACTCTCTACCTAGTGTGCAACTTATAACAGCTAAGTGACCCTACCCATTATCATCTACTTGGTCCGCCCGGTTCCCTACCTAGGTAGGCATCTTTGACTCGCGACATCCTTCACGCAATTTAGAGGCTACCCTTTACATGCTTATGGACTCAGGTCTCGCCCTGTATCTACTAACGCTTAAAGATTATGTACAAAGTCATGTTCTCCGACACACTACAGATTAGATAAGTAACGCAACGGCAAGTGTCATATATCTGTAAAATATACGTCTGTTGGTGGAAGGGCCTTGAAGTAAATAATTACGGGTTCTGCCGCTGCAAGAATCGAACCATTTTACATGGGATTTTGCATGAACCCCGAAATATTTGTACACTATTCATGACTTTGAGGCCAGTCAAAGCGTTTTTCAACTTCCTGTCGGTCTTCTACGAGTGTTGGTGTCATAGACGCAAACGAAAGCCAATAGCATGCCAGTTGGGATACTAATAGTACGTTTTGTTCCATATCCCTATAACGCCTCGCCCTCCCTCGAGAATGAGGTTCTTCCCCCCCTTAACCATATGCTCCATCCCGTAACAAGAGAGCTACGGGGTACCACTAAACGGTCATCTTACATATTTTCCCCTTAACGGAGGGAATATCATTATTTCCCGCCGGTTCTCGTGTGTCGTGTGACGAATCAGTTGCGTTACAACATATACGGCTTTTTCGGAAGACCCAAAATTTTATATGGCTCGATTGTGGGACTTGGTGGTAGAGATTCTAGATCGTAAACCGGCACATAGAGAATTGATGCATCAGATTGCAGGTTGCGTATAGGTCGGCCGGGGCAAGTCTGGCTAGACCCTTAATAAGCATGGTTCTTACTACCGATTTCATGCCCTGGGATAAGTAACAGCTTGTGCAAAGGTATTTATTTACAAAAGCGATATAAAGCTTACAAGGGGCCAACAGGCCGTTCTAGAAACAGACTGCAGGAAAGCTGTGTTCTAGAGTCTGGCCTCTCAGGCCTGTACCAAGCCTCAACCCGACGATATTGCCATTCTGCATTACTGTCTCTATCCGGTCCTGCCTATTCTAGACTCTGGAGGTATGCATATAGACCAGCCCCTGTGACGATATTGGCGATAATCGATAAAAGAATCGATGCGATAGAACATACCTACCGCGATAACTTCCGCTAGCTGTAATCAACTTACACTAGGATACCATGTCGCTACCAATCTATTTATTATACTGGCTGTCGCACAACGACTCTTATCTTTAGTTGATTAGGCGACCCAGCTACGATCCCGGAAGGTCAGTGTGCCACATGGCATTCGAATTGTGGACGTTTCGTACAAGACCTAGTGCGGCTTACTCGAACTGGAACTACATACCTTGTGACACTGCGTAAAAGTTCCCGTGGGGGCATTACTTACCTACCTCTAGTAACTTACATCGAGAGTAAGAATAGGTATGTAGTGGTAGAAATCCTGTAGCCAAGTAAGCAAAGCAATAAGATAGTAGATAGATAGATAGCTACCTGCGTACATGCAATACTTGTATAGCCTAACGCTAGACACAACACATCGCGGACAAATGTCAGCTGCACCACAGTCCCTGCCTGCGCTTGCATATATCAGAAAATTGCCGTATACACAGCAGGCTGTTGGCACACACCGTCTATTCTTGACAACCAAGCAAGACGAGTCGATGCGGATACCAGGAGCTTCAGACCTCGATCGAGGTTCTACAACCGGAACTAGATGGAGGACCTGGTACTGAATTCTTTGCAAGGCAATGGCTTTCCGCCACGATGGTCGATCCTCAGTTAAGGTATCGATGAACTACTTCTATTAATTCTATGCCAAGGAGAGTTCTAGCCGCCTTTCACTGTTAAATTGTCCTAGAGGTTACCTCACGATGTAAGCCACTTTGGCATGTATCTACATGATCCGTCGTATGTCACTTCTGTAGAAAGTTCCAGGTACACAATTTCCGAATTTTGTTAAATTTCTCTCTAACAAATAGGAAATAGGAAACTTTGCTCGTCCTCCGCCATCTGTTGGCTATCATATTACGTGTTTATAGTAAGAAAACAATTACCTAGCTTATTTATGTTAGAGAAGAGATATCTAGGATAACGTCGCACGTCCCCCTAATGATCGTTGAAGTTGTGACTTACTACCTAGGTAGGTAGCTCTTGATTATTAATTATCAACTCGTAGTGCATAGAAGTTCTAAATTAAGGAGAGTTAGAATTAGTCGCCTGAACCCAGCACCCATGTGATTACACACGCGAGGTAGTAGAGCCGTAGTAGAGTCTCGCACATGGAGACATGTAGTTAACCTTAAACCGGTCAAATAAGCCGCGGGGGCGGACGGACGGAGAGACAAGGGGGGGATGAACATGTGGATCTTAACTCACAAGTCGATGATTGTCTAGACTGGCGTTTATAATCTTTTTTTTTTTTTTTTTTTTTTTTCCTGTGTTAGGTATAGGTGAATTTCCGGTCCTTTGTGATCTACGATACACGATATCTATTATGCTTTTCTTAAACGAGAACATGGATATTTGAACAAGACCATTCTGCTTTATGATTTGTTGTGATTAGATTCTTGAGCCGATGTATACCTTAGGTTACTTTATGTAACTACCTAGACCTAACCTAAGATAATGAATGTACTTAATTTTATGTCCACTACCTACCTATGTCTCAAGTGCCTGGCTACCCTAAATTCGATTTGATGTATGCGTGCCTTACGCAAATACGTACCTCTAATGCCTACCTGCAGACATAGTAGGTAATATTACGTTAGGTAGGTACCTTACCTATACATACCTAGGTATTACATAGTACCTAGCAGCTGCTGCTGTGGTAATCATGTATCGAATCGAGGTACGTTACATATAACGTACCTAGGCCTGGGCTAGAGTAGGTCGCTCTTCCCAACAAGCAACTGCCAACTCTATCCAGCCAATGCGATCGAAGAAGAACGTGCTCCGCAATGTACGTAAGCGTTCTTAGTGGTCCCGAAGCAGCGACCCCTAGCTCTAAAGTCCCCCCTCCCTCCCCAAAATCTTATTTTACGGGTTCCCGATCTCTGACCCCCGGACCCAATCCTGAGCATCATGGCAACCAGCGCGTGCACTTCTTTCCAATCCCGATTTTCAACACACCAAAGCCCATGGACAGATCTGCAAGGCCAGCCAGACACAACCGGCAAGATGAATTTACCTGCAATATTCAGAAGCTATATTCCTTCTCGGTATGGCCTTCACCTCCAGTTGAGCTGTCGATCCTCATCTGTGTTTGCTTTGCCGGCTTCATCTCACCAGAGGGCCAGGTCCAGGGTCGTATGTCTGGACCTCAAGGACGCTTATACCTTGTTATCTTTAGATGTCCCTACTTCGTAGCTGGACCGTATCACCTTCATGGTCTTAATCTTAGCCGAAAGTCTGCGTTGCTACAGGCCTAGGCGAAGTCTCACTCTACCTTACCTTTCTTTGTGCTTTCTCTTTGCCGTATAAGTCCACAATACTTGTACTCGTATACAAATCGTACACGGATCGGAACCACGGCCTAGATCTTGCTCACAGGAACGCCCGATTCGGTTGAGTTACATCCAGTGTTGAGGGATGTGGAATAGTCTTCGTCACTGAGTTGGCCTCCAACACAGAATTGCCAGTATCGTATCTGCTTTTCTCGGGTATATAATTTCCATGAATACCCGCTGCGCCGGTGAATCACTCCTATACATTAGTGTCCCCTTGGAACTTAAGGGCGAAAGTCTCTGATCTGGAGACGCTTTTACCATTTTCAGAAAAGCCAGTTTGCCTTTAGCTCAACTCTAAAATACCGTCACCCTGGTTGGTCCTATCGGGAGAGTGTGGGTCAGCCTTGCTGTGTTGTACATCGGCCTAAGCGACGAGAGCACGAAGATCTGGATCACCTTGAGCCGCCTCGATCTGGAATTCGATTCGTGAAGCCTGGATTTACTCCCGTCGTCACCCACTTCCTCGCACTGCATTTATGATAGCGGTTTTCACACGGGGAAAATAGGGGACAGAGGAGCGGTCGAAGACGTCTACTGTCCCTACTTGCATGCTGTATTTCACCAAAGCTTGGCCAACTCCACCAGAGCACCGGTCTGTGGAAGAGACCACTACTTTCGAAAAACTATCTTCTATTGTGACCCGCCGGTATTTGTGGCGATTGCATCAGTCCTATCGAACAAGAGTCCTGTATCCAAGGAGCTATTTTGCTAACCTGCCCAGCTCGAGTATTGCACACTCCCTAATTAAGTAGCCATGTCGACAAACAACGTTCTTATTTACGTTATACGCCATGACTTGCGTGTCTCTGACAATCCCATCCTACATTATCTTGCTTCTACACCAGGCCACGGGTTCACACATCTCTTGCCCCTCGTTGTCTTACTACCGCACCAAGTTGAGGTTTCCGGGTTTCTGACAGAAGGCAGCAAATCACCCTTCCCCGAAGCTAAAAGCGAAATTGGACGCTACTGGAGGTGTGGGCCGCACAGGGCTACATTCATTGCACAGTCGATTTGGAACATGAAAGACAATTTAAAGAAACTGGGAAGCGACTTAACCATCAGAATAGGGACGTACGATAGAGTATTGAAATCACTCGTCGACGGCTTGCGATCGACGGGTGTTGAAGTTGGAGGAATATGGACTATAGAGGAAGAAGGCTACGAAGAGAAACGGGACGAGAAGTGCATATCCGAGGCTTGCTCGGGCCTAGGCCTAAACTTTCGAAAAATTTTGGATGAAAAGTATTTCATCGATGAGTGAGTTACGATCATAGCTTTAAGCTGGACTTTACTGACAAATTCGCACTCACCTAGTCGAGATTTAAAGCTCGAGGAGGATGATCTCCCAGATGTATTCACAACTTACAGGAAAATGATGGAACCATTGCGGGAGAAACCTAGGGCAACCTTATCTCCCCTTCAGAAAGACACCTTGCCGAAGCCTGTCGATATGTCTTCAATTCCAAATCAAGAGTCGCCTTTCGAAGTTCCATCTTCGTACGACGAATTCGAAGAAGCACTTTTAACACCCGTCAGGGGAGTTTTGTCTAACGTTCCACCCTTTCCTGACGGGGCTAAGTCGGCTCATCCTTTTCGGGGCGGGGAGGATAATGCTCATATTCGATTGGATCACCTGATCAAATCGGGATGTGTCTATCAGTATAAGAGCTCGCGCAACGGGCTCTTAGGAAGCGACTTCAGCACGAAGTTGTCTGCTTATCTTGCACAAGGATGCATCACAGCTCGTCAGATACACGAAAAACTTGTGGCATACGAAGATGGAAAAGACGAATCACTAGCCGAATCTCCGGGGTATGGTGAGGGAGAAAACGAAGGGTCGAAGGCGATACGATTCGAGTTACTCTGGCGTGACTACATGAGGCTATGTACCAGGAAGTTCAAAGCGAGGCTTTTCCTCCGATCTGGGTTCAGAGATGACCACGCTGACAAATGGAAATCAGCCAAGAGCGAAGATATGGCAGAAGGTCAACAGCAGTCAGCTGATGAAATTTCTAAGATAGTGAAGAGAGTCTTTGATGGAACTACTGGAATGGGACTGATTGATGCTTCTCAAAGAGAGCTACTACACACCGGATATACCTCGAACCGCGCTCGTCAGAACGTCGCGAGTTTCCTCGCCAAGCATCTCTCTATAGACTGGCGCTATGGTGCCGAATGGTACGAAATGCTATTGGTCGATTACGACGTTTCATCGAACTGGGCAAATTGGCAGTACGTTGCCGGAGTGGGAAACGACCCTCGAGGAGAAGCGCGGATCTTTAACCCTGTAAAACAAGCTTTCGATTACGACAAGGATGGGGAATACGTACGCTGCTGGGTACCTGAGGTGCGGAAGCTCGAGAAATTGGAACATGTCTTCCAGGCTTGGACGACGCCGAAGGAAGATTGGGACCGACTTGGCTTGAAGGACCTCGCCATGGCCGAGGACCCAATAAAGAAGATTGAGTTCTCTGTGGAAGGAAAACCTAAAAGCTCCAAGCGGCCATTCATCCGTCGGCGCGGTCGAGGACGCGGGGGCAACAATCATGCTCCACAATCTCCCGTGGCTGAACAACAGCCGAGCGGCACCAATGATATTGATAATGTCATTAAGGACGAGGAACTAGCTGGTAGACCGTCTATCATCCCTGCACAGCCAAATACAGGAGAAAGGAATCGTGGCAGTTTTCGAGGCGGGCGAGGATACGGTGGAAGCTATCGAGGTCGTGGTTTTCGGGGATTGAGAGGAGGATACCGGGGTCGGGGTTGGTCAAACTATGGTCAACCATCACCACCACCGCCGCCGCCACCGATTCAGCAATTAGCTCCAGCCGAACAGGCGCAATAGGATTCGCATTATCGTGCGATGAGTTATCATCAGTACTACCCACTTCCCGTGCCTTTTTCTCCCTTTGGTATTATAATGTTCTACAGAGATGATATCGACAGAAGTCGCCATTTTAGCATGTTTCAACCGTCACTCCCTGAGACTCGACATATAACCAGTGAGCCATCACTAAGCTCACTCGAAGGGTCATCGCAAGGCGGGGGTGCGTATTCCCAGCGGACGTACCAATTGAGTACCGACGAGGAGTAATGCCTCGAAGTAAATTTACTAGGCTCTGTAAATAATATCGCTTACGGGTTTCCTCTCATTTTGTCGATGAAGATATTTTTGTAAGCTGGTAGGACGGAGATATGTTCAATTCATTGCCCCATTTCACGTGTATTATGTTATATTATAGATATATACTATGTCAACCAGCGAAAATACGTCTATGCTTTGGTATCGTCTTTGATTTATTCGTCATGCCAAAACGCCGATAAATGTTGGATAAGCCAGCGATCTCCTTATGAAAGCCTCCCCCCCAAAAGTCTATGTGGACTCGCTCAATACAGACATTGTCTTAAAATTCCTCAACGAGGGGCTTTAGTTTAACGCCCTTGGGCACAACAGCTAAAGCCTTGGCCTCAACGCAAATCTTTCCGTGAAGTGTCTCCAATGTACCCTCGACCCACATCTTCCGATCGACCTTAGACAGATCCTCTCCTTCGGCAATCATTGGCCGGGCGCGGATAAGATAGAAACTAGAAGTCAGGGTAGGCGCGCGATACTGAAGTTCGAGACGAGCAGTGACGGCCGTGCGTGCGGGAAACAGCAGGACGGCGCACCGGACCAGGCTTTCGTCTAGTAGCGTCGCCAACGCCCCACCGTGCACGACGCCCGGCCATCCGGAGGTCGCGGCGCCGAGGTATACGACGCTTATGACTTCGTTGGTCTTGGTGTTGCGAAACACGCGTTGGAAGGGAAGACCGTGTGACCCGCCCAGCGGCCCGGTGGTCAGACGCGATTGCACTATGGACGAGGATTGCGCGCCGGAGTAGGCATCCCAGGACTTCCAAGTCGGGTCGGAAGATAACCTGCGCACGAGCGGCAGGGCGGACCCTTCCTCCCGGATCTTGGAAACGTGGTATTCGTCTTGAGGGGAGCCGTGGGGGTACGGAGGAGGAGGCGCGAGGGATAAGCGGACAAGAGTGCCGAGTGATAAGCCGATGAGTAGGAAAACGGCGGAGTAGAATACGCCTCGGCGGCGGCGACGGGGAGGCTGTTGTTGTTTGGTGGATGTGTGTTGTTCGGGAGGAACTGGAGTTGTCGCGGAGTCTTGACTATTGAGGGGTTCGGCAAAGCGTCGCTGCGAAAGAGTGAAGAGTCTAAAATTGCATAGTGGAAGAAATCGTGACGGTATCGGAGTGCGGTAGAGACGTATCGCGGGACGAGGGACTCGGACAAGGTTCGTCGACGCTGTCGCCCGTAGGTAGAACTGCGTAGCTCGGGAACTACCGGCAAGCATTATGAGATGGCCTAACAATTGTACGGGGGTTGCAGACTGGATTGAGGCTCTTGCGGCGTAATAAGTGAGAGTGAGACAAGATCTTGGTTGAATGTAACCGTAACCATTTGGTATTTTGGTAACAATACAATGGTACATGGACCGGATAAGTGGATGCCAGATGGTGTAAACTACCTGGTACCTACCTGAGCTGAGCTACGAGATTGATTGGTTCGATTGATTACTATTGACCCCGCTAAGATCTTGCAATCTTGCATGAATTTAGCGCCATCTCGGGAGCTGAGCTTTGAGGTACACAGTACATACCTCTGTCCCGGTAGTGATTCCCAGCGATCGTGGGAATTCTATTGTTTTACAACTATCATCCCTCTTGTTTTTTTACCAGTCAGCCAGGTACACTAGCAACCCTAAAAGCAATTTAATTTATATAACTAATGGAAGTCTATGATATCATCGAATTATAGTCACCTATATTCATCAAATCTAACAATGTCAAGTAAACAACTCCTCTTCGCAGCAATTACATGCGATATATACACCTACCTACCTCATAAATATTCGGAAGTCCGAAGTAAACATGGATCGCCACAACTTTACCTCTCGCTGCTTGATAAAGCTATTGCTATCTTAAACGGGTTATTCCATACCAGGTAAACTTTATCATCGCTACATCACGTTATGTTGGCCGAGTGCAATCTTAGCTGTATATACGCATTAAGAAACTTACCCTAAGGCCTGGCCCTCGCTATGGCTTATGACTACGCCCTCGTGTAAGTTACTTAGCATACGAGGCTTACATACACAAGCGCGCGTTGCCCCTTGAAAAAAAAAGACGAAACTGATTCTTCGAGCAGACATCTAAAGTACACCATACCGCCGGCTTGTCTTCTCACCTTCATACTGAAGCCGCTTCTCACCAAGCTTGACTTGTATAAAACATTTATCCTAATACTAATCGCTTTCTTCACAACAATTCCCTGGGATTCGTATCTCATACGTCATGGCATATGGACATACCCCCCTGACGCCATCGCCGGACCGTGTCTTTTCGGAATTCCACTTGAGGAGTTGTTCTTCTTTGTTATACAGACTTACATAACCTCTATGCTCTACATCTTACTCAATAAGCCTGTTCTTCACGCCCAATTTCTCACGAATAAGAACGACTCCTCACCTAAGTCTCGGCGAATACGGGCAGTGGGCCAAATCATCTTAGTAGGATGTATCATTACGAGTATCTCACTTGTTAAAACTGGAGGCCCGGGAACCTATCTTGGGCTCATTTTAATCTGGGCTTGCCCTGTTGTACTTCTGACATGGTCGTTCTCTGGCTACTTTTTGATTGGACTACCGCTTACTTGCGTTGCTCTGCCAATCATAATACCGACAGTGTATTTATGGATCATCGACGAGCTTGCCCTAGGACGCGGAACATGGGCTATCGAGTCTGGTACAAAGCTTGGCTGGTGCCTCTGGGGTAGTTTAGAATTGGAGGAGGCCCTATTCTTCCTCTTGACTAATATCTTGATTGTATTTGGCCTGGTCGCTTTCGATAGGGGGTTGGCAGTTCTATACACTTTCCAAGAGCTATTCCCCGTTATACCAGAGATGCCTCCTCCGGGCCTTCTCGCTAAAGCCATCCTGCTTGATCCTCTAAAATACGATATGATACGCGTAAGGGGCATCAGAGAAGCTGTACAGACATTGCGGCGGAAGAGCAGGAGTTTCTACTTGGCTAGCTCGGTTTTTCCAGGCAGGCTTCGCATCGATTTGATTCTTCTGTGAGTGGAGCATACGGTATACCCTGCTCTCTTATATTAACTATTTCTAGGTACTCCTTCTGCAGAGTAGCAGATGACTTGATAGACGAATCACACACGGAGAGTGACGGTATAGTATGGATCCAGAAATTGACCAATTTCCTCGACCATGTGTACGGTTCGGATAAGGCGCCACCGTCTTCGATGCATACTATCAACGACTTCGTAGAAGAAAACTTCCCAGAGTATGCAAGGTCGGCGCTGACACTACTGCCAACCAAGCCCCTTCGAAGCAAGCCATTTTATGAGCTTCTGGAAGGGTTCAAAATGGACCATTCTTTCGGCGGGACTGATTCTAGTCAACGAGCCAGACGGTTTCCTATCGAAGACGAAGCGGATCTCGAACTGTACGCGCATCGCGTCGCGAGTACTGTTGGAGAATTATGTCTGAGGCTCGTATTTCATCACAACACCACGAAGCTACCAAGCGACAAGGAATCTATTCTGGTAATTGCCGCTCATACGATGGGACATGCGTTGCAATACGTCAATGTCGCTCGCGATACTTTGGTTGATGCTGAAATAGGCCGGGTCTACCTGCCATCTAACTGGCTAAAGCAGGAGGATCTAATTCCTCAAGATGTCGTAAAAACTCCAAAACAGCCGAAAGTAGAAATGCTCAGGCAGAAGCTGCTAGACTGGGCGTTTAAAGAGTATGGGCGATCCCGAGACACTATGAATATGCTTCCTCGCGAAGTTCGTGGTCCTCTGATCGTGGCTGTCGAGAGTTACATGGAAATAGGCCGGGTTTTACGAGAAAGAACAGGCGTGCCTTCGAAAACTCGTAAGGGGCGGGCAACGGTATCTCGATCAAGACGAATATGGGTCGCATGGAAGAATCTTTCTGCTGCATAGCGACCATTCGGCTTCACCTTTCTAGTTTCAGCTATTTACTTGCATACAACCCCTAATTCGGCATGATAGACAATTTATAGTTTATATAGAAGCACTGTCATAATATTTATGTAGTATAAGGCATAGACTACATAAGGCACCCTAGTTTCTAGATTCCAACTTTCGGCGCGAACACTGCTTGTCATGCAATAGAAGTTGTGGTCGTATATCGTAACTGCCAAGACGACTTCGCGAGATACTGATTTATGATATTGAAAGCCTTCAAAATTAAATTATAATCTACTTGTTGTAGATCTGTACCAAATATTTAAGCAGCTAGTACTGGCCTTAAAGAAGCAAACTCACACTATGAACCCCTTGTGCCAGCTGGACTCGTCTGACTTTGGGTTCAATCTCATCGACTTGCAGAAAACTCAAAAAGTTCTGGATGAGGTACGCATCGGAAGAGTCATATGGAAATAAAGTAGCGGATTGCGGGTTTCCCGGCAACGCTAGGTAATGCCTCCTATCCGCCTCACCATTGCGGATTATTCGATGATGAATCATTATGTCGGGTTGAACGTTCTTTATACATACGCGACTCGGTGTAATTCTCTTTTCTTTTCCTTTTTTTTTTCTAAGCGCGGTAAGCATGCCCCCTGTCCCGCCCTGGACGATGAGAAGCAGAACAATATCGAATTGAGATCGCATGGTCGGATAGTGGCTGCTGCGTTGCTTGATTCCCGTGCTGCGGCGAGATTGCCGAGCAGATCGTCTAGAAGCATCATCTATCCCGGACTATCGGGTCTGTTAGTATTAGATAGGTATACGTATCAAAATCGCTAGAGAGGAAGCTAAGAAACGACATGTGATGGTTCATTACAATTTGTCTCAGATGTATTGTATGAGTGGATTCTTCTCGTGCTTGGATGGTATGCGGCTAGGTTATATCGTTCTGACAACTTTGGCTTGGCCATATATAAACCTGTTGCTCGCTATCTTAAGCTTCGGGCGTGCTCATACTCCATCCTGGATAGGTATGATACATAGTTTGGGAAACCGTTCGGCGTATCTCTTGAATTGACTTTATTACTCTTGATCCCTTATATTCTCCGCAATTAACTAGTCCGTCTTACTTTCATCGTATTGGCTGAGTATCGCGCCGAAAGAATCAAACATGTCTAAGACGAGAACTCGGAAGAGAGCGATCGTTATTGGTCAGTACACTGCGTACCTAACCTTAGATACCTAACGTAGCTCATATGGCCACTCACTAACACAAGTCCAGGAGCGGGCACTGGTGGTATCGCAACAGCAGCCCGGTTGGCGAAAGCCGGGTTTTCTGTAACCGTGTTGGAGAAGAACACGTTTACCGGTGGACGATGCAGCTTGATATTCCACGAGGGTCACCGTTTCGACCAAGGGCCGTCTCTCCTGCTGCTGCCCAAGCTCTTCCGGGAAGCATTCCGCGACCTGGACACGTCGCTGGAAGCGGAAGGGGTGGAACTGCTCCGCTGCCCGACTAATTACAAGGTATGGTTCGCGGACGGCGAGAGTTTCGAGCTATCGACGGACCTCGCGCGCATGAAGGCCCAGATCGAGCGGTGGGAAGGCAAAGACGGGTTCCACAGGTATCTCGACTGGCTGCGCGAGGCGCACCAGCACTACGAGCTCAGCGTCAGCGAGGTGCTGCGCAGGAACTTCACGAGTTTCTGGAACCTGATCGTCCCGCACTTCGTGCTCACGGGCCTGAAGCTGCACCCTCTGCACAGGGTCTGGGATCGCGCCCGGAAGTACTTCTGGTCCGAGAGGCTCAGGCGCGTCTTCACGTTCGCGACCATGTACATGGGTATGTCGCCGTTCGACGCCCCGGCTACCTACTCGCTGCTCCAGTACACGGAGCTCGCCGAGGGTATCTGGTACCCGCGCGGAGGCTTCCATGCCGTCCTAGCGGCGCTCGTGAGGGTCGGCGAGAGGCTGGGGGTTGAGTATCGACTGAACACGCCCGTCCAGCAAGTTCTTGTGAGCTCCGACGGGAAAACGGCGCGCGGAGTGCAGTTGGAAACAGGTGAGATCCTAGAGGCGGACGTGGTGGTCGTTAATGCCGACCTCGTCTACGCTTATTCGAATTTATTCCCTCAGACACCGAAGGTACAAAGCTACGGCAAGTCCCTTAGGAAGAAAGATGGCTCATGCAGCTCGATATCGTTTTACTGGAGTCTAGATAGAACTGTCCCAGAGCTACAGACGCATAATATCTTCCTTGCGGACGAGTATAGGGAATCGTTCGACGCCATCTTTGACCGGCAATCGCTCCCTGAGGAACCCAGCTTCTACGTCAACGTGCCCAGCCGAATAGATACCAGTGCGGCCCCAGAGGGTCGAGACTCGGTGGTCGTACTCGTGCCCGTCGGACACCTACCGGAATCGAAGGGTTTCGCGGAACCGCAGAGCGCGGGCCTGCCCCGAGATCAGGACTGGCAGGTCCTAGTGGACCGGGCGCGGCGGGCCGTGCTATCGACGGTATCCGCGCGCACGGGATGCGAGCCCCTCGACAAATTCATCACGCACGAGATCATCAACGACCCGGCCGCGTGGGAAGACAAGTTCAACCTAGACAAGGGGTCGATCCTAGGTCTGGGCCACGGGTTCTTCAATGTGTTGGCGTTCCGGCCCGGGACGCGCGCGAAGGGGCTAGCGAACGCGTACTTCGTAGGTGCTAGCACGCACCCGGGTACCGGGGTTCCGATCGCACTGGCCGGCGCCAAGATCACGGCCGAGCAGATTCTAGACGATCTACAGGTAGCGGTCCCGTGGCGGGAAAATGCCGTCGTAGATATGGATATGGACCGGGGTGTACCACAGAACGACAAGACGAACCCGCTGGATAGGATACAACCGGGTGTGTCACAAACTCCGGTGTTACAGATGGTATTGTATTTTTACATTTTGCTGTCGATAATGTGGATGTTGTGGTACTGGAACCCCGTAGGGAGATTCTTACTGGTTTGAGTAGTGTAGGCGGTTGAGTGGAAAGGGGGGAACTGACATGGATGGTCGGCTGTACTTAGTTGTTTGCGATGGATGTACTCACTACCTTAGACGTCCAGTAACACGATCGCATTATAAAGTAGCACTGCCCTCACCCCGGGCGTCATCAATACTGCTACTCGTCGAATAGGATCTTGCCGGCATACATCTGGTATTTGGAGTCTTGCCCAATTGGCTTGTTTGCCCAATGCTTCAGCTTTCCCAGTTGCTATTAGCTCTGCCCTACCTTACCATTTATCCGGCACCGAACAGGTCATACGAGCCCTAGAATAAGAGAAAAACAAGGCAGCTAGGGCATGTAATAAATATCTCGTCATGTCCACTCTATATTGGGCTCTTATATATAAAATATTTCTCACAATTTATCCACAACCAAGTTGAGTACTTAACGTAAGGTATATATGATCTTGTTAAATAATTAGATAGAAACCCATCATGTCATTCAATGTAACCTTAGTCCATCTTTACCTTCGTCCAGTCAGACTTTGCCCATAGCGCTGCTGTATATAGTTTGACTTCGTTAGTATATCAATACTTAATCCAGCTCGTTCCGAAATTTCCTTTACTCTCGCGTCCGGCTTCTGCTCGTCTCTCGACTACGACTTCTATCCCTGTGCTTATGGTCCCTAACGACAAGCAATCCCTCACTTCTCTCTTTCTCCCTTTCCTTTTCCTTTCGTCTTTGTCGCTCCTCTCGTTCCCTCTCTTTCTCACTTTCACGATCCATTTCACGCTCTCTCTCCCTAATCCTTTCTTCCCTCTCCCGGTCCGATCGCCTGATCTCTCGCACGGCCTCAACCTTCTCGAAGCTTTTCACGTCGTCGGGCATGCGAGTGACAACCAGCTGCTGGCAGAACAAACCCCACCCGCCGCTGGTTCCTTCCTCTACGGCTTTGGCTAGCTCCACACCGTAGCGCTCGTGGTAGGCCCTTTTGACGGCTGCCATGTGGTGGCGGTCCCAGTGGAAACGGACGAGACGGGAGATGAGTAGTTCCCGGCGCAGTTGATCCTTCTTAGAAGCCGTGAGAGCGTGGTGGAGAAGAAGTGCGTCGCGGACAGGTTTGTTAATAACACCATTGAGGATATGAGCTAGGAGCTCGCCCTGAATTGATTTGTTGAGCAGCATGTCCTGAAAATCTAAAAACGGAATTCAAGTACTCACCACAAGGTTTCCACTCTTCTTCAGAGCGTCTCGAGCGAAATTAGTACCGGAAACCTTCTCATAAAGCCTGAGGACTTCCCTCAGGTGGTTATCGCTTCTCGAGATAACTACCTGGATCATAGCAGATTCGCCACCTCTATCACTGCGAACGGCTTTATACAGGGATTCAACATCATCCCGTACCAATTCATGATTGATTGGGGGCCGCCGTCCGAACTCGTCCACGTCCTCCATTCGCTTTTCTTCTAGTACCGTGAGAACTGCACGCTTGAACTTGTCTTCCTTCAATTCGGTTTTCATACACAGCGTCAGTGAATCTTTGTACTTCTTATCTGAGAAGGCCTCCTTAATCTTTGCTATCTCGTAGTTGGAGCGCCCCATGAGGCTCTCAATCAACAACTCGCGTCGCGTCTTATCGCCATGGTACCAGAAGTTTGCCCAGTACGCTTCTGACTCCCATTTACCGAGCGCAACGGTGTAGCAGGCCTTCATAAGGACAGGCTCCTCATCCTTTAAACGGACCCGGATATGCTTAGCAACGTTGACGCCCTTGCGTTCGGGACCAGTCTTAACTAGCCGCTTATATTCGACGCGCAGCTCCATAATCTGCTCATGCGTCATTCCGGGTAAAATCTCAATGAGTGGTTCCGTATCAGGCGGAGAGTGATCACCCCTGAGAGCTTTGGCTAGGCGCACCGCATCGTCCACAGGGTCATGGAAACGCGCGCGGCGCCGCTTCTTCTCACCATTACCCTCGCTATCAGAAAGAGTTGGCGAGAGCGGCTCAATAATATCCGAGCTTCTCCTAGGGTCGTCCGAAGCGAGGAGCATCGGTGACGGCATCGGTGACATGGATTGGTAGGTACCACGATAAGACTCCAACAGCGGCGATGGTGGCGCGCTCGATAGCGAGAGCGAGGCTCCATGATGCCCCGTGTTGACAGTCAACGTAGACATCCGTCCAGTGGGGGGTCTGGAGTGATCTCTGCGGGCAGCCAAGCCGGGTTCGGCGGTAACGATCCTAGTGCTCGAAGACCTAATTTCCAGTCCATACGAATCACGCTGACGTTGCTTGTCTGATCTGTCTGGTCTGTCTGAAAGCGGCGGCGTATATGCCGAGTCTACGTGGGGATACCTAAACTTGTCTCCCGGCCTGTCATCCTCCCACCGACCGGGCGCAGAATAGCCGGCCCCGCCTGGAGACGATGGTGAATGACCGCCAGAGTATTTAGTGGTTGTCACGGAGAGAACAGCACTACCATAGGCTAAGTCATCTTCTAATTTTTCCTTTTTAAGCTCCTTTCTCCGCTCTTTTTCAATATCCGACTCACGCAACCTATTCGAGTATTTCGCAGGAAGTAGTGTATCGGCGCCTCGTAAAAGTACATCCTGAGCCAGTTCTACCATGTCCTTATCACCCTTGGACAGGCGCTCTTCGCTGCGTCTTGGATATCGTCGCCCATCTTCCGAGGTGATGGAGTTACGGCTAGTACGATAATAGCTAGATTCATCCGTAGGTGAAGCTGGTCGGTAGGGGCGGCGAGGTGCTGCGTCATCGTAGCTGTATCCAGCGGGCGGGGAAGGCATGCGCACGGCGTCAAGAAGAGATGGGGAACTTTCGCGGCCGCGACGGCGGTCATAACCTTCGCTAGCCCGTGCTAGAGAGGGTGTATGACCTCGCCGTGAGTCATCGGCAACGCTTAAAGACATTGTCGGGCAGACGCAGATGGCAGACGGACTCGCGTACAACTTTGTCAGGGCTTGGTCACAGCGGAATCCCCCGAAGCGTTTCCGTGTTAGCTACCTCTATGGGATTGCGGGGTATCTGTTACCGAATAATATGTGATTTAAGATTGAGGTTCAGTCTTGGCCCAAGCTGAGAGTTTCACTGAAACCTAAGCTTTAATTTGACCAATTATAGCTATAGATTAGGTGTTTAGGTTGGTGATCTGTCGTATCGTGAAAGATAAAATAAGAAGAAGGTTTTAGGAAAGGTAAAGGTAAAAAGCTGAGACAAGGTTTATCGTTTAATATTCCTTAACTAAGTGAGAAAAGGAATGTGCATAGTGCATGAATGCCTGTCTGGTTTTTTTTCCAGGCCTGCCTACCTAAGGTAATCTTATGTAAATCCAATTGTAGAGAAAGAGTAGATTGTAGTACCTTACATTATGTAATATTGTACCTCGAAAAAGAGGTTGTAATTTGTTAGTAATAAGAGGTACTTTGCTTATATATGCGGCTTAACATTAGTTACTGTACTAATTTTTATTAAAATTTATTAACTGTTTTATAATTACTTTTATATAAATATTTTAATATATATACGTATTATAATTTTATAATTTATTTAATTTTTATTTTTAATTAATTTTAAATATTTATATATAATTTTATTTAAATTTTATTATTATAAATTTTAATTATTAAAAAATTTTAATTTTTACGTGGTTAAATAAGTATAAAAAGCTTAAAACGGTTTTTTAATATTATTAATTTTTTAAAAAAGTAATTTCGTTTAATTAAAATAAATATTTTAATTTTAATTTTTATAATAATTAACGTTATTTAAAAATATAATATAATTAATATATTTAATATACATTTTTAAAAAAAATTTTTAAATATTTATTAATTAATATTTATATATTTATATACTTATATATTTATTATAAAAAATAAAAAAATATTAATAATTTAATTATTTTTTTATTATATTTATTTTAAAAATTATAAAAGTAAAAATTATTTTTAATTTAATATTATTAAAATTATTTATTAAATTATATTAAATGAGAAATTTTATTTTTTATTTTTTAATATAAAATATTAATAATTAAAGCTTTTATTTAGTAATAAAGTTAAAAAAATAAATTAATATTAAAATTATATAAAAGTATTAATAATTAATATTATTTAAAAAAAAGTTTATAATTTTTAATATATTTTATATATAATTATAATTAAAAATATATGTATAATAATAAAAAACATTTAAAAGTATAAGTTTTTTTTAAATTTATTAAAATGTAATAATAAGTACATTGTTTTTTCTTTTAATATTGGTAATAAAGCACCTTATCTCCGATAAAGTGCTTATATGTCGATGTTACACAACTATTATATATAAAATTATAACGTATTAACTTTTTAATAAATAATAAATATACGTGTTTTAAAAATGTAAAAATAATTATATTTAATGGTTAAAATTTATGTAAAAAATAAATAAACATATAAAAGTGTATAATATTATTATTACGGTAATATTTTTATAATTATTTAAAATTAATAATTTTTTATAATTTATTATATAATTTTTAATATATTTATTAAAATGTTTTAATTATTTTAAAATAATTTTATTTATTATTTAATTATTTTTTTCATATAAAAAATTTAAATAAAAAATACTTATATATTTAATTTAATAATATATTTAATAATAATATTTTTTTAAAAAATTAATTTTTTACGTAATAATATTATAAATTTACGTTATTAATAATTATTAATATAATTATATAATGTATTAAATGTTAATAAGTACGTATATATAATATAAAATAATAAATAAGTAAATTAAATAATAATAAAAGTAAAATTAATATATTAATAATATTTAAGGAAGGAAAAATTTATTTAAGGTTAATTAATAATATAATGTTTTTTTATATAATAATAATAAATATATTGTTTTTTTTTAATATTAGCGATAAAGTATTTTATTATTAATAAAGTGCTTATGTATTAATATTATATAACCATTATTTATTTTATTTTCTTTTTATAATTAATTAATTGTAAAATTAATTATGTAATAAAAAAATGGAAAAACTTTATAATAGTACGTGCTTATGTTAATCCGAATGTATATTAATATATATACAAATTAACTTGCACATAAATTAATATGTATTTGTAATAATATGTATTTATATTAGTATATTATATACCCTTATAATAGGTTAAGGTTGGAAGTGTAATAGCTTAAATTAAAAGTTATTTTACACGTTCGGCCGTGTTAATTTATGTCGTATTATTTTACATTTAAATTAATTAAGAAGTTTTTATATAATGTTTTTTATTATAACCGATGTTTATATTTAGTTATAATAATTTATTATTATATTAACATATAATTATTTTTAAGCTTTTTACGTTTTACTTATTTTTTTAAATGTAAGTTAATTTAATTATTTTTTATTAATAATTTTATAACTTTATTTAATAATACCTTAATTATAATATTAATTAAGTTATACGTATTATAAATTTAATAAATATTATTTATTTTTCGGTTTTTATAAAATTATTATAATATTATTAAGTTAATTATTAATTTCTTTTTATTAATGCTTTTTATTTATATTAAATATTAATATAAAGAAAAAAAAAATTAATATATAAAATAAAAAAAGCTTTTAAAATTAATAATTAATTTAAAATAATATTAATAAAATAATAAATGATAAAATTTATATTAAAATTTTATATTATTTTATAAATTTTATTAATAAATATATTATAAATAATATATTTATATTTAATAAAAAATTAATAAATAATATTTTTAATAATTTAAAGTTTATTATTTTAATTTATAAATTCTTTATTATTTAAAATAATAATATAATTAATTTATAAATTAAAGTCTTTATTATTTATAAATAACCTATTAATAAAAATATATAATTATAAGTTTTAAGGATTTAAATTAATATAATTAAATCTTTATAATTAATTAATTATTTACTATTTAATCTTAATATTAAAGGTTTTAATTCTTTTTAAATTAAGTTTAAAATGTTAAGTTACTATTAAATAATTAAAAGCGGTTTTAAGTTAATATATAGAGGAGATGTACGCTTTTTAAGCCCTTTGTTCCATAAATTACTTAATTATATCCAAGAATTTAACATTTAATAACGTTAGTTTTTCAGCTTATTCCTTTTAAATAATTATAATCCCGTAATCTTTATTATAAATAATAATATAAAAACTATTAAAATCTTTAATCTTATTATTTAAAATCTTTTAAAAATATATTTTAATTTTAATTTTAATAAGTACTTTATTTTTAATAATTAAAAATTTCGTTATATTTATATTTAAAATATTATTTATTTAAAAGTTAATAAATTTAAAAGGGTTTATATTTATTATTAATAAATAAAGGTTAAATATTAAAGATTTTATATATAATTTTTATTAATAATAATATAAATAAATCTTAAATTAATAAGTATTTAATTTTATAAAATTATATAACGGTTTAATAATATATAATAATATCTTTTTAAGGTATTTATTTTTTAATTCCGTTAATAAATATATAAAAATCGTTTTTTATATTAATATTTTAAATTAAATGTAAATTATAATAATATCTTTTATTATAATTTTTATTTTTTAATAATAAAATATAAAAATTAATATTAATATTAATATTAATTATTAATTAGTTCTTTAAATAATAAATACGTATATTATTATAAATTCCTTATTAAAATTATTATATTTTTAAACTATTAAGCGTAATTTTTTATATAATATAAAAGTATTTTTACCTTTAATTTTATAAATTATTTATAATTTAAATATTATTACGCCTTAATATATTATTATATTATATGTTTTAAATTATAATATGCTTTTATTAAAGAAAATATTTAATTCCTTTATATTTAATGTTTTATATAGTTTCTTTAATGTAATTATCTTATTATTTATTTAAAGTTATAATGTTAAAATAAAGTTATTATATTTTTTAATATTAATATATAAGGTAATAATATATAATAAATTGTTAATATATATAAGATCTTTTTTTAAGATAATTTAGTAATTATTAAAATTAAATATAAAATTAAGTTTTTTTTAAGTTAAATATAAAATTTAATATATAAATTTCGGAATATAAACGTACTGCCTAATGTATTTAAAATAACTATAATATTTTTTTAATAATTGTAATAACTTTATATAATTTTTTTTAATTACTTTTTTCCTTATAAATTAATACTTTACTTTTAATAAATAAAGATATAAAGAAAGTTATTTTAATATTAAAGCTATTTTAAATATTTAAAGTATCTTATATAAAGCGTTATAATTTAATCCTTTTAATTTTTATTATTATTTTTTAAATTACTTATACTTTTTAGATTTGTGTGATAGTAGGTGGCAAATCCATATTGATCTTAAGGTAAGCGCCGAAAACGAGTAAAGTTAAGATAAAATTATTTGGATTAGCAATATCGTTAATTGCTTTTACAACTATTTAAAAGCGCAACGTTTTTAAGCTAAAGTTTTTAAATTTATTAATAATAATCTTATATATTTTATAAATAAAGTTATAATACTTTTTAACTTTCTTAATAAATTAATAAGTTTTTATTAATATTTAATAATAAATAATTTTTATTACTTGTATTTTATTATAGAATTTAAGATTGTTAAAATTTATACTTATATTATAAGAAATAATATTAAGTGGTTTAAAATAAGTATTAATTTAATATTTCTTTAATATTTTTTACGTTTTTTTAATAGTAATATTTTTTAAAAATCGTGTTATTTAAAAATTAATAGCTGTATTAATAATATATAAAATTAGTTATTTGTTTAAATATATTATATTAATAATTACTTTATAATTAAATTTTATATTTAAATCTTTTAAAGTAAATTTAAATTGTTAAAAAGTTTTTCCTTTAATTTAATAATAATAATAAAATTTATTAATTTTTTTAAAATTATCTATATTAATATTATATCCAATTTTATTTAATAAATTATATAATTTACTAATTAATAGGTAATTAAAACGCATATATAAACATCGAAATTTTATTTTTATAAAATAGGTAATATCCTTTAATTAAAACCATAAATATCCCTATTTTCTTTTAACATTAATTATTATACCATTTTTATATATAAATTAATTAATAATATTATTAAAATATACTTTTAACTAATTTATATCTTTTAATAATAATAAAAATAAAGTATTTAATTTTATAATATAAAAATTTATTTTATTAAATAAGATATTTATAATAATTATATTAAATAATTTAATAAATTATCTATTATTAAATTAAATATTAGCCTTTTTAATGTAAAT